TGAGTTGGGGAAACGTGCGCCTTGGCACCTGGCGAAGCCAAAGCAATGGCGACATCACAACTTTGGGGGGCTGAAAACTCTAGATTGCTGATACTGACAACATGGCCCGCGATTCCCGTTTTGGCGAACATTTGATCTTATCAGCGTTTGCGCACAATGACTTAGAAATTAGTACTCCAGTCAAACGACGGTGCCAGCGACGGCGCCATCTCTACCTCGGTTCCGCGCGAGATTCCGGGATGTCCATGTTTTGGACCAGATTACGTTCGAAACTAAGGAAATTGAAGGACGCTCTCTCTTCAGTCGTTACCGTAGACCTTCGGTCATATGACCGATGCCTACTACCACGAGCCTGCTTCCGGCAGGGGCGAGTCAGGTTCCTGAGCTACCTTCTTTCCCTTCTTCCGTTTTTTCAACCGCGAGCGCGCCGATATATCCCACATGACAGTATCCACTTCTACGGCTTCCACTGGTTCGGAAACCTTTCCAAGGACAGCGCCAGGCCGTTTGAGAATTACGAAGATTCAAGACAGTTTTAACAAGCCGGTTTAGCATTTGCTGAGCTCTAAACCTCTCTATCAGGCCTACCCGCCTATACCGGAGGACAACATGTTTCTATTCGCCTCCTACCGTCTGTGGTGACGCGGCGTCCTATTCCTTAGACGTCTCTTGGTAACTCCCTCAGGCTTCGCCGCAGTCGATTTTGCTGTACTGGCGCTTGTCCGCCTGATGCTACGACGAACCGCATTCCGTTGATCCGGAAGTCCATCGGTTCCCTCGGAGGACGCCTGCAGTCGCCGGCTCCTTCGGGGAGCGGGATCGGCTAATACTTGGCTAGGTTCATCAACGTCTAGCTTCGTCACCGATGACCTGGTTTCGGCCGGCGTGTCAGCTACGGCAGGGTCCTCCTGCCGCCCTGAACAGGCGGGCCGTTTCCATTTGCGAGTTTTGGACACCCTCGCTAGACCGGTCAGCTTCTGAGCTACAGCCTGGACGTTTGGTGGTTCTGGTAGGATTGACTGTGCAGTGCGGCGCCGGAGCTGTGTTCGACGGACGACAGAGCGGGCATTTTGACTGCTCCCTGGGGCGTCATCAGGTGGATCCGAGGCGATATAATTGCCGGCTTCCCCGCCTGCAAAAAGAGGTGGTTTGGCTAGCGACGTTTGTTGTACTGAATGGCCCAGCGCGCGAGACCTTGGCCTCTGGCTTGATTCGACATGTACATGTTGATCGGGCTTGAACAGGTGCGGCCGTGGATGTAACTCAAGAGTCTTGTCGCCAGTGGTCTCCGCTACATCATATGTCGGGCCCCTTGAGGCGTCCTGCCCTTCTCTGGCTTGTTCTGCGGTTCCAGACCGGTTGCCATCAGCCCTGCCCACCCCTTCAGAGCCCGGATCGTCACCCAGCTCCTCTTGAAGCATATCTTCAAACGGTCGTTCATGCTTCCACGACATTCCTGGTAACACCCCCCACTTGGTGTTCCAAATGCCCCGCTTAATCCAAGCACTCTTCACTCTCTCGTACGCAGTGGTGTTGATATTGGGTGGTGTAGATATTGCAGGTTCGTTTTCCGGGGGCCCCTCCCGCCTCCACCGCTCATGCACCTCCATTTGGAGATGGAAGTGGTCAAGGCCAACAACGCGCTGGGTTATTGGGTTTTGGCCTGGGGGTCTTGGGCGGTTCATTTCCTCCTGGATGTATTTGCGTTGTTCGGAAACTAGGTAGATGAACTGATAATAGGGGCGTGACGCCTCGCGATCCCGTCGCTCTCCTAGAACCTCCGCACCACTCTTGGCTGGTTGTTTCCGCTGTACCTCGGCTCCAAAGAGTCCTGTAGGAAGCATGCTTTCCCAATCCATATTGGATTCGGGCTTTAGCGGTTCCTCGTGCTTCCATTGCCCACTAGGCCTACGCTGTTTATTCCACTCATCGTTCCAAATGCCCTGTTCAATCCAGCGCATCTTGATGTTGAAACGTGCGTGTTCGTAAATGCTGTCCAAGTCAGGCGGGCATCGGTATATCCGGTTTCGATCCGCTTCGAGCAGCCGTTCTAGCTCTTCGTAATACTGGGCCTCGAACTGGTAGTAAGGAAGCGAGGCGCTATGCTCCGTCCTTAGCCGAAATTTCCGCTCATCTCGCCGTTGTTGCGCCTCGCTGGGAACGTCGGGGCTCTGGGATCGCGTCGTGGGGCCCGAAAACTGAGATCGGTACGACGGCGGAGAGTTGCTGAATCGCTCTCGCTCACGCTGAAGCTGCTCCGGGTCGTTGAGCAGTGCCTCTAGGGCAAGATCTGCCCTTAGCAAACCATCGCCTCGGATAGAGTCCGCCATGGTGCGGGGTTTGGCTAACTGGTGAAAGGTGCAAAGGGAGCGTGGTGTGTGAGGAACGGTGGAGCAACACGATTTGTTTCGTCCCGTGCGGGTGTTCAACCTCATCCAACCGCTGGCTATCTAGCAGTCACGCTGCCAAGCCGGCAGAAATGTAACGTAGCGCCAATGCTGGCGCAGAACTCCCGACAGGGGTCCTGGTCCCAAATTCAAAAAGATCCCTCTCGACACTGAGAAAAGCTAGGTAAACGTAAGAATATAGAGCATCTAGTAAAACTCTAAACGGCCGTTTTATTCCAATCCTACTTGTAAGTAAAAAGTGGCTGTTTTGATGTTGAAATTCGACTTTTTGGGTTGACACTTTGCTCTAAGTCAGGCGCTACCGAACAAGCCATGGGGCCATTGTACACGGACTCCTAGGACCAGCCAACACCCCTCGGCGCCACTCACCGCGCGCGCGTCTCATCCCTGGGCCTGGATTGATTGGCTCGGAGTTCATCCAGAAACAGGATATTTCGCACCCCTCGGAACCTGGCGCCAGCCATCTGCATACCCGTTGGCTCAGCACATATGTGGTAGTGGCTGGGCCTCGATTTGAAGCTCGGAAGAGGCAGCCTAACTTATCACCCTCCCCGCTTGCTCTGGGGCTCGAGTGATCCCAACAGAAATACCTGAGATTTCTTGCGTCTTGATGACCTAACGTGTTTGCGCTGTGCCCAGTGCTCGTTCATTCTCCATGCCTCACCCTCTTGCCTTGTTCTCTCTGACACCGCTCAACAAGCGAGCTGAGCAAGTTGTAGAGGATCCATGCAACAAGCACCTCGTTTCCACCTTGGAAGGCGGTGCATCGGCGCTCGATGTCGGTCAGGTTCGGCCGGCATCAGCGGACGATGCCACCTTGGCGACACTAGGACGCTGCGGCGATATCTTTGTTGAGGGCGCTAGTATTTCGAAGATTCAATGCTCGTTCGAGATTGACCGAGAAACCGGCATCGTCATGTTCTACGACAGATCCCACGGACAGACAAGCCAGGTCTACGGCGAAAATGCAGTGCAATTCGAGCATGGGCGTCCCCGCAAAGTCGTCGTGCAGCAGGACCTCAACACCATAATTGGAATGGGTGGCGTGGGCCGTAATCTCGTGCGATTCCAGCTACGATGGCACTATACCCCCGATGAGGTGATGGCGAAGGTCAAGGAGCGACAGAGCAACAGTGTGCAGTACAACCCCCGTCTCGCACGAACCCTTAATGAGGCCGACACAGTCGCACCCTCCCGAATGGGGACTCGAATACATACACCGGGGCCGCGGCAGCCGAAAGTGAGGTGGAAACAAATAGGGAAGGCTCTAGGAGCTGGGCAGTTTGGTACAGTCTATAAAGCCTTAGACCTAGACTCGGGCAGGATCATGGCTGTGAAAACGACGGCGAGGCCCCCCGGTGTAAATGGGGATCATTTGTGGGCGACGTTAAAGCGTGAAGTCGAAATCCTTTCCAGTATGAGTCATGTAAGTATGGAAAGCCTTTTCCCGCTACGCGGCTCACTCCAACTGACATCCTTCAGAACTATATCGTGGACTACATTTTCTCGCAGGGTTGGGAAGAAGGCGGAGCTGAGATCTTCATGGGACTGAAGGAAGGCACACTCGAATCTCTAGTGCTCCATGGCTGCTCAGTCCCTGCTCACGAGCTCGCTAGTACGGTCTTCCATCACATGCTTCAAGCCCTCGATTTCCTTTCGGCACAGGGCATCATCCATCGAGACTTGAAGCCAGAAAATATCCTATACATGTCCTGCGGAAACGGATACCACTTTCAACTTGGCGACTTTGGCCTCTGCAACCGCCAAGCTCTCGCAAAAACATTCGCCGGCAGCCCGCTATATATGGCCCCAGAAATGTACTACGGCGGGAAGCAGACGTCCAAGGCTGATGTCTGGTCGCTCTTCGTCGTTACCCTGTGGACGCTAGATGTAGGCGGGTTCCGTCGGCTCGAACGGACGTTCTCCACCTATGACCATGTCCAGAAGACCGTCTTGTCACTTGCCAACAGTTCAGCTCTTTCAAAAGCCAGGGAGATGGCAAGGGTCGATTTCAGTACGCGGGCTTCCGCAGCACAGATGCTGGTTCGGTGCTTTAGAGGAGAAGGGCTCACGACTCCGATAAGTCAAATCCCTCCGATTGTCGATTCTGTCGACTCGGAGGATGGTGCAGCTTCGCCTGCAGACGCCAAGAGCAAGGCGCCCGCCGCAATGCCAGACACGAACGCCGCCGGCCGCACTCCGGTTGCTGCCAAGGAACGGCTAGCGACTGCAGCCGCCAGGGGACGCGGGATTGCCAAGAATAAGTCCCGACTGCCACAGAGGAGGTTGTTGCAGCCGGATCCCGTTGACGTCCTCATAAGGCAACCAGGCCCATCTGGTGTAAGGGACGTTCCAGAAAAAGCACCGGCTGGTCGGCGACCGCCCGGCTCTCAAGCTACGAATGTTTACCAAATACCCGGAGCGTTCCCTAGGAGCTAAGATTCTGGGCTTGGGCGTGCTGGGAAAGCACGGACTACCTCTAAGCCGGCTAGTCCCTTACTGGGCGAGCAAGTGCGATGATGCTGTCACCGGGAAATCGCGGTTAGCTTAGGCGTGGGTGAGGTGGCGTGCACTTAGTACACTACATGTAAGGTACGCGGTACAGTACAGTACATGTCAGGGCCTACAATGCTTGAAGCAACTTGAGCCAGACCGCCTCCACACAGGGCGCTGCGGCGGATGGTGCCTGGTCACGGTTCCCCCCCCGGTAGAGGTAAATTTCTCCTGATCTGACTCGGTTACGAACGAGGGATGGCCGGGCACCCACGTCGCGATAGCATGCTGCCGGGCAGCACGCCCTCCCTGAAAGGCATCAACTAGACATGAGTCTCTTCACTTGGCACAACACAGGGGGAGAGGGAGGGAAGAGGGGCGGCAATGGCATCCAACGCCTTCGAACCAGTCGTGGCAGGATGTCCCGGATCCCGCTTGGAGGGGGAGGTATCGATGCTTGCATAAGGAAAAGTTCCGAGACAGCACTGTGGCCAGTCTTGATACTACCATCCTCCTCCTCCTGACTGGTTTCCCCTACCTCTCTCAGAACTCCATTAAGCCGGTGTGACGCGCAGTCTAAATCAGCCAACACTATCTCGACCCAGTTCATTGATTGGCCTGATTCAGGCTGCTGGGTGCCTGGTCACGATGCACTCCATCCCCGCCCTTGTTGACCGCGGACATCCACCTGTCCATCATGCGACTCTCCACGATGAGTCTCTGATCAGCGGCAAGCTCGCTTCTCTTTTCCATGTTGATCGATGAGGTGTGCGCCACGAGTGTATGGCGGACGAATTCCTCCCCAACAAGGCGAATGCCACCCTCCTTGTGCATTTGTGATGCCCCTTCCCTGCCGCTCGTCCTCTTCCCCGACGAAGAGTCTGATGCACCTGCAAATCCGAGCTCACCGGAACCCAGGATGTGTATTCGTGGCTTCCTTCTTGCCCTGTAGGTTACTTTCAATGGATCTCGGCGCCTCTCCCTATCGCTTCCCCCACCCCCAGTAGGCTTCTCATGCAGCTGCTGAGGGGAGGAAGAGGCGCACCCCTGGCCAATACATTCGCCGAGCTAGATGTGGTTGGTCTGCGTGTGGCGGTTTTCACGACGCGCCTCGTGGGGATTCGGGCTAACGGTTGATAAACATCCCCGGCGTCCATTTCTGCAACTATTCCTGCTCCCTGCAGCTCGTGGGTGGTGTGGAAACCAGGTAGGCTTCCAACCTGTCAAGCCGGGCTAGCCGGTTTGTACTTGCGGCGGGCATGCGTCCCTGTCAGTCTATCCCGAACGAGCTGGCTGGTGACTGGGGCTGACGAGACTCTTTTTGCCTCTCTTCCTGCTTCTTTCCCTGCAACTCGCAGATAGTGACACTTGACGAGCACCCCTTCCTGTCACGAATCCAATAGGCTCCCGTGCTTCGGGGAAAAAATCATCCAACGCGCTTGGCCAACCACAGACATTACTGCGGCCTCGGGCGGCGACACCCCATGCATATAGCAGATTGCATCTCCAATGTCATAGACGGCCTCCGTTGCCACATGGGTGTATGGAGCTTGGTGGCATCTTTGTACAGTTGGCAGTGGCCTTCCCGTGCTCGAATGTATTCAGCGGCTAGAACAACAGGTAACGCTACCACACACCCAGAGTCAGACACTCCATTCGCCAGTGGATGACGATGCCCAAGCAGCGGACCGAGCCCCCGGCCTGCGTTCTAACCAGTCTAACTTAAGGAACTCCAGGCTAACGCCATGTCCCGTTCTCGATATCCTATTGTGGGATTCGACAGCGCAGTCAGGTGACCCAGGTCGCTCTTTCGTTGACTGTGCCAGTCTGGATCAAACGGACCGCTACCTTCTTCGAGAACCTGCCCAGGTCCGAAAACCAGTGGCGCGAAAAGAGGGATAACCTTGGCCTATCCGTCGAACAGGGTATTCTTAGCGCCATTGATTGGTTGACAACAGGCTGGTTGGGCGGAGACGGTCATTTCACGGACCCTACTACAATGTCAGATCTACAAGCCGCCTTGGAGGCCTTTGCGCTAAACCTTGGCTCCCATCTAGCATTGGGGAAACGCAGCCTCCAATTATCCCGTTTCCTTTCCATCGTCCTAATCGCCACCTTATACATAGCATTACATTGGCCATCCGGTGCACCTAGTCGACGCCGCCCAGCGAAAATTCCTGACGGCACGCCGTGAAAAGTGCCGCGCAGGTGCTCAACAGCTCGCCATAGATCGGGCGTCGGTTCGGTGGATTCCGGCGTGGTCTTCGGCATCGCGCTTTCGAGCTGTTCCTCCTTGGTACGTCCATGGCTTTCTCACTTGAAGATCCCTTGCTATGAAGTCCCGGATGAGATACAAGCTTGTCTACCTTTTTGGCCTCCATTCCTTGTTCCGATGAACCTCGGCGACCGGTGGAGGTAAGATGGATAGATCGATATGTTCCATCCTGCTAGCAAATTCATAGTTACTCGACAATTTGCAAGGCACTTGATGTAGATCTCCTTAATCAAGAGGAGGATTTTCGGCGTTTCCAGAAAACGCTCGCCTCAAAGACTCTCGTCGCTTGCCAACTCGGAGACAATCATTCAACTGCTCCGTCTCATCTTACACCCCAAGAAGCACATCAGACATGTGCAAAGAAGCGCCAAAGGCAGGACATCGAAGGGGTCTTGGTGCTAAACGCTCCTATACAGAATGGTAGGGCTTTAAAGTGTCGTTCTTCTAGGCTGTTGACTTGTATCCGACTAACGACGATAAAGTTCCAGATCCCGCATCTTCAAATTTGAACACAGACCTTGGTGAAGTTGGAGGTGTTGTTTGCTGGGAAAACTTGACTGCACGTTGAGGGGCTCCGGGTGAAGACCAAGGAGAGAACAGGTATTACAAGCATCCTCAGCGCCTCGAGCCTGCAGATAAGTCCGGCCACCGGCTCCTACATGAAACCCGTCCTTTCCCCTCAGTGTCCCATCTGTCCCTCTCGAGTGCACACCAATCCCACATGTTACCTCCTGCTCGCCTCCATTTCCTCCCCTTCTTCCCTACTACACCGCCTCTCCGCCTCGCCCACTACGGAGGCTTGCCGTTCCCCGCCGCAGTCTTGAAGCTGTATGCTCCTGCCGAACCAGGAGGGGGTTAGCCTTCGGGCGCCCCAATAGCGTTGGCCGTGCCGAGCTGTTTAACATCTGAACCATTTATGAGGAGGACACGGCCCGGGCGCGGATGGACCGATTTCGCCTTCTGTGGCTGCGTTCCCCGTCGCCTGATCTCGCTCTTTAGGGTCTCCAACTCATGCTTATTTGTTATATCACCGGGAGGGGAGGAAAGCTCAAAGTCGATAGCAAACACTTTGTCGCCAACACGTAGGAAGTTACGGAGCCGTGGATCTCCATGAACAACACCGTTTTTCGTAAACAGTCTGTATATCTCCTCGAGTTGCTTGACAAGGCAAGGATTCTCAAGCTCTTCGGTTGGAAGACTGTGTAGCGGCTTTCCGTCAACGTGTTCTAGAAGGATAGCAGGAATTGGCCGCTTGCTGATCTGAGATCTGGTCCGCTCGTGGTCATAAACGGCGGCCTCGCCAAACAAACGCGGGATGTGGGTGCCCTGGAGGGATTGAAGGTGCCGGTATGTGTCGATTTCGTTTTCGTAGGAATCGGCCCTGTCGGGGTTTCGCTCCTTCAGAATGACGCTTGTAGGCAAGAACCACTCAGGCAGCAATCGCTGCAGCCAGGAACGAACGAGCTGTGGCGTCCAGGACGGCAACCAGCGATAGATTGGACTCGACGGGACATCCAAGAGAAAGACATGCCGCTTCTCGTCGATTCGTTTTGCAGGCGCTTGGAAACGCCGGAAGCCAAACTGTATGTCCTATAGAACTAGGATCAATAATTGCAACCGCAAACCTTTGGAAGGTAGAAGATATATATACCTTTATAATCTCGTCGTTTTCATCGTCTTCCATATTGGACCCGCAGGAAATATTAGGGTTAGGGTACAGTGATTGAGAAGATTGAAGTGAGAATGCAGGAAAGTTCGAGGACAGAATTGGTTCAAATTTTATATAAGAGAGGGCGGTTGCACAAGCAAACAAGCGGGGTCCACTTTCCGAAACACCACAACCTAGATCCGTCGGACGCTGCAGATGTCACAACCCGAGACTTCCCGTATCCCAAACAACCCCCCCGTTCTGGTCCAACACAGCAGTTCCATTTCTATCCGCATACGCCCAATACCATGCGCCACACGAGTTATCGAACATCCGTATATAGCCATTAGGATGTTGATCGTGTTCCTGGTTCCCATCCGACCAGAAAGTCTGCCATGACAGCCATCTAAATCCGCGAGTATAGCCATCCAATATCACTGAGGGGGCCGTGGCAGCTTGCATTCTCTGAATCTGGTAGATCACTGTCCGGAAGAGACCATACCGCAATGTTGGACAGTTGCTTGAGAACAGAAGGCAAGTGATCTGGCAGTCTGCCCGGATCTGCTGCGCGGTCTGAGCGTGAAACACAAGGATCAGGAGGTGCTGGCCGTCGAATACCGATGCAGCGAAGCATTTGTATTTATGGCAGTATCTATCGTTATAGCTGTCAGCAAGCTTCTACCATCTATTATAGATTGTTGTACTTACCCTCTCAGCTCCTTTCCTAGCCGAATACGATTGCTATCAGGATCGAGCCTATTTGTCCACCTTTCGAAATCGATTATCCCATGCCGTTTCAACTCTCCTATCATAAGGCAGTGCTCCCCCCAGCCCCAAGTGAAATCGATGGTCTGCGTGACATCGGTTGGGCCAAGAGGTCCTGATTCTGACCGTTGGACGATGAATGGCGTGCCATGGGGTGTCTGGAAGGCGAGCTGGATGGGGAGTGAGACATTGGTGTAGAATGTCCTGACACTGTCGCCCTCACTCTGCAACCATTCGACAGTGCCGTTCAAAGGGCTCACGTCCTTGTTTAGAAGATGGTCGACCAGAGCGTCTTCATTCCCGAACAGGCCGTCGATCTGGCCTTGGTCAGGGTCAATCAGGAGTGTAAACCGCGTGACCTCTCTATAGCCCGCCACCCAGTTCTTCTGGGATAGAGTGGGTTTGCCGGCTCCTGGTAGTGTGTAAAATCCAGCAGTGCCATCTGGGAAAGCAGGCTGAAGCAAAACGTCCCTCAGGAACACCATGTTGATATGTCGAGAGCAGAAGCAAAGGGTGACATAGAATTGTGGTAGATAGGAAGTGAGCTGCGCCTGTCTGGTGCAGAACAGGAGAAAGTTAGGAAAGCGAAGAAAAGAGGTTCGCCAGACTTAAATAATCTACCAGCGGGTGGTAAGGCTTACGAGTGCAAGTACAAACCGGCTAGCCCGGCTTGACAGGTTGAAAGCCTACTTGCTTTCTACACCACCCACGAGGTGCAGGGAGCAGGAATAGCTGTAGAAATGGACGCCGGGGATGTTTATCAACCGTCAGCCCGGATCCCACGAGGAGCGTCATGAAAACCGCCACGCGCAGACCAACCACATCTAGCTCGGCGAATGTATTGGCTAGGGGTGCGCCTCTTCCTCCCCTCAGCAGCAGCACAGGAAGCCTACTGGATGCATCAGACTCTTCTTCGTCGGGGAAGAGGACGAGGGGGGGAAGGGGCATCACAAATGCACAAGGAGGGTGGCATTGGCCTTGTCGGGGAGGAGTTTCGTCTACCATACAGTCGTGGGGCACACCTCATCGATCAACATGAAACTGCCGCTGATTAGGAACTCATCCGTGGAGGGTCGTATGATGGACAGACACGCATGGACGTCAAACAGAGCCAGCTCAGAAGCACGACACTTTCAGGTACATTGGTGCATATCCAACAGTTGGACGTCCGCGGTCGACAACGGAAGGGCGGGGATGGAGTTCGTCGTGACCAGGCACCCAGCAGCCTGAATCATGGAGGCCAATCAATGAACTGAGATAACCGGTCGGGAGGAGGAGGGTGGTAGTATTTAGACTGGCCACAGTGCTGTCTTGGAACCTTCCCTTCCAAGCGGGATCCGGGACATCCTGCCACGACTGGTTCGAAGGCGTTGGATGACTTTGCCGCCCCCTCTTCCCTCCAGGACGGTGTGCTGGCCGGCAGCATGCTATCGCGACGAGGGTGCCCGGCCATCCCTCCTTGGGAGAAATGAGGAGCCTGTGCCATGCAACCAGAGCCGCCGTGACTGCGGCATGTATGGGGTGTCCTTTCCCAATAGGTCCACGGGGGTGGTTACATGCGCCGCCATCTGCCCCAGCCATTGCGCCTCTTACAAAGCTTTTCTCCGGTTGTCCCGGTTGCCAGTTCCATAGCGGATTCATTGGCCTCCACCTACAGCGCTGCCGCTGGGTGCAGTTGAAGGAGATGGTGGATGAGCTTGGTGATAGTGATCGGGATCTGCTGCAGCTTCTGCTGAAGCAGAAAGAAGATAAATAGTGTTGAAGTCAAGGGTTATGGGTACGAAGGGCCGAGGTACTGGCCTGGGAACGGTCATCCTGCTCTGCGGCGTGCCAGAACCCATGATCAAAACGGTGCAGTTATCAACGATGGAGGCCAGGAACTCGGCGAAGACACCTACGAGGTTGTGTTGTGTATGTAAGGTAGTTCTGGAGAGCTGTTGATTACGGAACCTTTGTCTTGTCCCCCTTATTTCCCCAGAGTGACAGCGCGCAGCCAAGCACAGTACATTACTTCACTAGGCCTGCCCTTTGTCCGACGACCTTCATGCTTTGCTACTTCCACTTCTCCAGCCCCGCGGCCCCCTTTGCGCCTGCCGATATCTCAGGTACGAGGCCATCTTCTCGCAGATTCAGCTACACACAATGCCTTATTTGTCTGATTTAGGGAACCCCATTGCTTCTGCTGCTTTGTCGTCGAGGCGTTGCATGAAATCACCGCCAGGGGTTGGTGGTGGAGTGGGAGGAGGAAGAGGCGGGGGGGAATCAGAACGGGGAGTAGGAGGAAGAGAAGGCTGGTCGTTGTTCTTGTGTTCGCCAGTTGGATCCCAGGAGTGGTTTGACATGTTTTCTGTAGAAATCTCGAGGATTAACGATCTCGTAACATATCACTTTCCCGAGGAGCATAAGTCTGGCGGGTTTCATGGAGATCTTGATTAGAATGTGCCTACCTTGTTGTCTGCTTTTGAGTGTAATGGGTGGTTAAGGTCGTGATATGATTAGATATGACTAGATTGCCGTACACAGACCACGAGGTTGTTCGCAGCAGCTGCTCTGGAGCGTTTTCTTGAGGAATGATACACCTGATTGTGGTTGCGGCCGCCTCCAGCGTTGCGTTAGTATATGCCCTTAGATGCTCCACGAAGGATTGAATGCCCAAACCTTTTTGAGTCTGTCAACAGCGGTTGCAGTACCCGAAGCTGCACAGGACAGGATTGAGCGTGGTGCTGTGGTGGCGGTGATGTTCTCGAGAAAGGACGTATTCTTATATCTGCCAGATAGTGAACGAAGAGGTGTTCCCAGATGATACAAACCGGGGTCCTCCGTCCGTTTGACTCTGCTCTCACTCTGCTGTAGGAGTTCTTGATGGGAAATAGGGCATCCTTATACCCGCCGACTAGTGAGCTCAGATATGGACTGCTTAGGCGACTGACGGAGGTGTGCAGGCGCTTCCGAGGTGAACTCCGTCCATGCTTGTCTTTCGTCCCCAATATCACTCTGCCGATGACAGCTCATAACACACCTTCACCCGGCGTTCCCCTCGCCAATCATGCACGGCAAGTAGGTACTTTCAAGTTGCCTGTACAGGACGAAGCCATTGACCATTAGAAAGCTGTGACGCCCCTTGTCCAGCAACCGAAACTGGCTGGGCGCATATGTGAACATGGATTGCAACACCATCTAGGTTTCTGTGCATCTATCCTCTGTGAGCCAACGTACATTATGAACACGTTGACGTGATGATCTGCTTTCACCCCTGCCGCAGGAACATGGGCGTGAGCACCAGGGGTAACTAGAAAGGACAGCTGGACGGTGGTGTGCAATGGAAGGACCAAAAACTAACTACAATGACCGTTGCCTTGCTGAGTCCCATCGAGCTGGCGCTATCAAACTTGCATCTTCGGTTCTATTGTGAGGCTTCTGTTCGGTCGCTAAGGCTGAAGCCTGGTACCATGAGGCTGATACTGTCGCAGGGATGGAGGGCAATTGACCAATCATTCAAGTTCACAGAGGGTGGAATGAGAGCTCAATGCTCTTTAGCATTGGCGATCCACCAATTCAAAAAAGAAAAGTGGGCCCTACAGATTCTACGAACAAACTAACAATCTAACAATCCAACAAACTTGCTGCGACCCACCCGGGAACACCTGCATCAAACCGAATATCGCGAACACGAGACCCGTGACCGTTTCGTCATACTTTCCACCCCACCTCTACGGACGGTATGCCGCTTTGAGGTTTTTCGTCCCATGCCACATAATCTTGCACGCACGCTGTTGTTTCGCCACGTCGACTCATCGGGCATCAACCGATGGCTGCATTTCCGTTCTACCCAAATCCTCACTTTTCATGATCACCAGTCGAAATCGCAGGGTTTTTTAGCCATTGGTGGCTAGACGTCGCTACTTCATTGTGAATGATATCTAAATTCGACTACTGTCGAAGGAACCCGCAGTCTTCTCTAGAGCGTCCTTACAAACCCTCCGGTCACTTTCTCACGGAGTTGACATTCCAAATGGTTCGCGTTTCTGTCCCCTAGCTAGGCTTCATCTAACGTATTCATAGACACTCGACATACAGAAACTGCCCGAGTCCTTCGACTGGTCAGGCGCCAAGACAAGTCCATATCTCGTCGAGGGGAAGGGCCAAAAGGTGTACTGGCAGGATTGCTGGATCAACGTGTATGAGAAGGGTCATTCTACGCCGCAAGAGCACATCCCTAAGTGCAGCGGCTGGACGACGGTGCCCGCAGATGTTGAACTTGAGTTTGGCAAGCAAGGCGGAATTATAAAGGTGACTTAGGTGGCGATGGGAATAGGACAAAGAAGAACCTGGTTGTCTCATTCGTAGAGCTTCATTCTTACTCGAACCCCTTCTTTCTGATCTAGAGACAGGTTGATCACAGCCCCATCCTTTGCTCGGTGTGAGACTGTCATCGTCACGCATTCTGTAAGAGGATTGCCTTGTTCAGCTTCCTCCCTATAACCTGGACTTGCTTTGATTGCGGTCTCTACATCATGACCAAACACCTCCGAGATGACATCCCGCCTGCAACCTCGTAGAACGAGATCTGGGCACGGGATCACTCTGAGTCCCGTGGCTTGAATGAGATATCGATTCTCGTCCGTGGATTCGATACCAGCACCAAAGAGCATACTTGCAAGGCGCTCAACCTTATTGCTTGTGATTTCTAGGCTCATCATCGACCCAATTTTATTCCCGAAAGACGAAATGTCTGGAAAGGACATCGTGATGGCCGCGGTCCACGCACTCCCGCCACCATTCGGAGAATACCTCCTGATTGCGCCAGCGAGAAATGTGGGAAACAGTGCGCTAACCCTTAGGACAGGAGGATTTCCCAGGTTAAAGCGACTGCTGCTTTGCTCGGCAAGCATGCTTGCGCCGCTTGTTATGGCGTCCGTGCTGAGCGTGGCGGCTGCCAATTCCACACCGTCTTCCGTCATACCTGGATTGTAATCAATATTGATGGATTAGGCGAGAGAAAGTGTGTACTCACGAGCTCGTTTTTGTGGCACTGTCACGGTGTTGATTTGGTTGGGTTTCGAAACCTTCTCAAACACCTGGTGGAACTTGGCAATGGTGTCAGAGGGAATCGCCGCTGCTACCTCCCGCGCTAACAATTTTCGGGCTTCCAAGGGGATTTTGTCGATAGTCTCGAGCATTTGATTGCAGGCAGCTTGACCATCGAAGTGAGTCGCGCCCTTTGCAGCACGCTTCGTGAGAAAATGCGCGAACCAGGCCGCAAACCCGCCTGCATCCAAAAATATCCTTTCCGTTGACTTTCCTTCTTGCGTTCCCGTGGTTTCTTGGTAGGCTTTCGCGAGTCCCTTCGGCGTGTGGGTAAACACGGAGTGGGTCACCAGCAAGTTGACAAAAGCTGGTATGTCCACATGGCCGCCGTTGGCGGTCGCAATTTCGAAACCCTCCATAGAGACTGGACAGCAAAAGAATGGCTAACGAGACTGATTGTGAGATTGTTGGGGTGGCCCGGACGGTCAAGATTGTGGGATTGCGGGATTGTGATGGTAGGACTCTGGATTGTGGGATTGTGGGATTTGGGCTGCGCAATTGGGGGTTTTATGAACCAGAAACCCCGTTCATTTAACATCGCCGCAACCCCACCTCTAGGGTGAGGATTGCATTCGTGGCAAACTGTAATTGAACGAAGGAGGCAGTTCAACCAGTGAAGTGCCGCCCCATCCCGATGCAGCAACCTCAAGGTCGCCCCCACAATTGTCATTTGTACGTGGACAGCTGCCGCCAGCTACCCCACAAAGAGCCCTACGTAGCCAATCCAATAGAGCTATTCTCCCATTCCCATAGCCGAAGGAATGCAGTCTTACCGACCAGGACACACCATGCCCACCATTGTTGGTTCAAACCCTCGAGAGGGTTCGAAGGAAAGAGTGGGTCGGAAGCTGGCGGCCCCAGATCCCAGTGCTCTGATTGGCTCTTCGGTCTAACGCCGCCGAGTCTGGAACCCACTTATGGTTTCGCAGCCGCGCTGGCCAGCTACCCCGCATGCAGCTCTCTCTACAGCCAATCGAAAAGACTGCCCCACATTCTGCTGCTTGAATGGGACAGTCCTTGATACGCCCAAGATTCGTGGCTCCACGATGTAAGATGTACTTGGCCAATTCGCTTGAAGCTAATCCTTTGATAAGTACTCCACTCTTGTTAAGAGTAATGAGTATACGTTACCAGAGGCTTTATCCTGAGGCAGGTAATGGTTGTCTCTCAGAAGGTATAAGAAGGCGCTTTGCTTGCACGATATTTCTATCCATTTCAAAGCACAGTAGCCTTCAGTATTTCGCCTCCGTTCCTTTGATTCAATTCACACCACACCATCCCCACTCAAAATGAACTCCACTGTGGGAGGTCTGATTGATGCCTTCTACGATACGCCTTCCTGGGCCGCGGAACTGCGACCTAGTGTAAGCCGCAAGGCTTGGGCTGACGGATATCGTTTGCTGCATCCGCGACATGTAACCTTTCACGAGGGAACCAAGGGATCCATCGACAACTTTCTGGGCCCTAACCTCAACTATGGCAACAATCACGATCAGTAACTGCCCTCGGAGGTTGACAACATTGGTCTTCAGTACCCCGCTCATCCCTTGAATCTCACCCAGCAAGCAATCCTAAGCGAAGGCGACGTGACTCGTGACTTCGAACGAACGTGAGAAAGTGCGAAGGATTGATACTACATCTAGACATGCTATTCTTGGGTTCACCTTTGGCTATACTGTTGTTAGTCCATGCCATAGTTCTACACAGATCTGTGGCAGGGTTTGGACTCGTACCGATAAGACAAATGGTTCTTTAAGCTGAGTGTTAGAAACTAACTGGTTGCGGGCTCACCTTGCTTACCTAAGTCCCATTCTCTCTTCCTCTGGGCTTTTAAGCGAGGTTGTGCAACATCAGCAAGATGCCTTCATAACCCTAACCCGGAATGCGAGCCCTTTTGCATTTTCATCTGACGTCGGGCAGCAATGACTCATCAGGTGGATTTGTAGCCTTGAGCCAAGAGCTCCCTAGGCTTGCACAACGGTTTCACGGATATTTAAGTCGGCGATTTCCACTCGAAATATTTTCAGATCTCCAACACAAGTTGATTGTTGCTACAACATGTATTTCATCAAGTCGACGGACAGTTTTCGGAGTTGCGCTGCGAAAGCCGGTCTCAAGAACGAAGATCTAACCCTGAAAACCGAAGGTCTACTGGCCGTACCATTGGAGACGCAACGAGAACTACTACGACCCGAGATTGCAGAGGTTGTCAAGGCATACAACACCGAGGAAGACAAAGTAAGTGAAGTCAAGAATGTCTCGCAGGGTGCGCCATGTTAACTAAATGTAGCGAAGGCGCATTGAACAACATGCGAAATCCCGAGGGAAGACTCTCCGCTTTCGGCGACAATTGGGAATTATCTATTTGGAAGGGGCCCTACCCCCACGTGGCCGTGTTTATGTGGTCATAGTTGTCCCACCACCCCCCCAAGCGCTAAGTGATGGGGCAACAGCTGCGAGCAGTGCTCTGTCTGGGGGAGCGCAAGAGACCGGTGATCATCGGTTTTATGAGGTCGTGATCCAGAAGTCGGCTGGTGAGGATCGGGCGGTCACGCTGCAGATTGGTGACGTCCTTCAACTTGACGAAGATGAGAGTATGAAAGCGGCAGGTGGTGGCATTGCGTTAATTGTACTGAACTATGATGTGATTCAAGAAAACCATGACCACTGAGACGTGGGCTGCAGTGCAGTCATACTCAGAAGCTCATGAAATTCAATCCATCAGGCTACAAGTTCTGCAAAAAGGGCACGTCTCCGTCAGGCGGGTAGCCTATGCTGCCCACTGACAGGCACTGCATGAAGTCTGATCTTCCCTCTCGCTCGGACGCGGCCCAGTCGGCTTGGAAGGAGCCTGTGCTGCCGTCTGGATCGTCACTGATCGCTGACGACCTTAGACGTGAGATTCCCGAGGCAGGAAGCCTCGCACCGCCGGCTGGAACCTGTGGGCACGTGGCAGTCCCTATTCCCTCTGTCCCGACTGCCTCTCCTGAGCTTCCTTCACTCGTGGGCTGAGCCACCTCATCTCCAACCGATAGATAGGTCTCAAGCCGCGACGCCGCATTTCTAACAGCATCCAACAAAAGACCCAAGAGCCACAGGCCCTATGGGCTGGTCCCTTCCCTATTCCGGGTTTGCGCCGGCCGCCTCCTCGCACGGCCCTAATCCCTCGACCTCATCCACTCGCCCGGCAGCAGCAAGGAGTTCGAGCGTGGGTAGTACATCCCATTACATTGTAAGTTGGAGATGTAGCGCCCCCGAGGGTATTAATGGGGCGGGGTCCCTGCATGTTGAGGCTGGGTCCAGAGTGTCGTCGCGAATCGTGCAAACCCGTGCCCCTGCAGCTGTGGCTGCGTCTTGCACGTGACAGTAAGGATCCACCGGGCTGATCCCGTCACCGGATTCGGAATCTACCGGCATAACGGGCCTGTTGTGTGGTGCGGGCGCGGTTCTCACCGAGACATCGCCTGCACAATCAATTTGCTGTTCCCGGGAGGAGTGTGGTTCGGTCTCGATTTCTCATTCGAGAGCCCACGTACTAGCCCTTGTGTCCCGGTTAGGCGAGTGGGGAACGGATGATATCGGCCTACGGCAGACGTAAAGGATTTGGAGAAATGACGGGAGCGCGAATGCAACAACCGCCTCGGCCTGGGCTGTGTCGTCCCGCATTGGATGGACGAATGACAAGCAAACGAGTCAACGTCGAGGATGTTCCTGTCTGAGAACGAAAAAGGGGGCAACAAAACTAGGCAACTAAATTGTGGCTGCAGGGCGATGCGGTTTTCCTCAGGGGTATATGCAGAGCTCTTGGAAGTGCATTTTGAACATGCTTGTCCTGGGACAGGCCTAAAATCCAGAGTAGAGCTGAATGGCACAGGGTTTAATAGAAATCCTTCCAACGCTTGAGCCGATCGAGGCATCGTCTGCTGGCTGGGCTAGTGATCGAGCCTTTTGAAGCGATCTTATTCGTTTTGACTATGCAGTTCGGTGAATACGAATCCCCGATTATCATCTTGATGCCGTTTCGGCTGAACAATGTTGTCAGAGCTGCATGTTGGGTTCGGCATCTGCGCCAGTTTGATCATTATTAGGTTAGATTGCTTGTCCGCCCGCCGTATAGCCCGACTAACGTATGCCACCTAGACCGAAATTATAGACCGTCGACTAAGGCGAACAAGTCAAGGTGTGAATTATGTACGTTGATTTGCGGAGATCGCTCCACGATACAAAGACAATGGCTGTGTCGACTCGCCATCTATATTGCACTAGAAGAACAGGAGCTTACGATAACGTTCGCCCTTGGCGGTCATGTTTCATTCATAGGGAGGCCATCTATCCCGGCTCCCGCAATGAGGCGCGGCAAAGATTGACCCTACCGGTCTCTTCGGAGGTTATCTTGGTCGGTTGCACAATCGACTAGAGCATAACCTACGTAGAGCGACAGCCAAGCAGATCATCGTAAAACACCAACCGATATACCCGGAGCTGGCTAGCCCTTGGCTCTTCCTTTAGAAATCACTCGCATGGTTTGTATTGATTACTTTTATTGCCGTATTCAAGAGTGGGCGGGAATAGTAAAGAAGCGGTACTGTTGCAAGTCGCCCGGCTTGGGAAGTACCGCTTCCGTGCTCGTGCTCCCGCTCCCGGCGGTGCGTTGGGCCATGGATTCTCGGGCCCCACTCCGCCGCAGCGGCTCCGCTCCCCCCTCCCCAATTGCAACCGCCTCGCCGTCAACCCGATCCGTAATCCCCGGACACGTCCTCCACAATTACTCCGACACACCCGACCAATCTAACGAATCCGACGCCGATGAATCTAGGGAATTTTCAAACTCTTTTAACAGATCCTCGTAACCTTCCTTTCTAAACACCCTACGCGTTCAGTATTTCTCCAGTTGCAGCTGATCATCCTCAGGAAGCTTAGGAGCACATTTGAGATCAGGACGCACGTAACCGAATGTCACCCCTGGGGCAATCGTAAGAACAACATGGCCTTAGTCAGTCAATGCAACCCAACAGTTAATGCACCACCCATGCCCACACTGCTTGCACGAGAGTTCCTCGAAGAATTGCTGCTTCTTGCACTCATGGCAGAACATCTTTCCTCGTCGCTGCTTGATGGGTTTCTCGACTCGCTTGCCCTCTCTTCTCATTTGTGCCTCTCTGTCCTTGCGTTGAAGATAGACAGATCTCAAATCTCCAAATTCCTCGACCTCTTTGTGCCGTGATGTAGATCTCTGTCGCGATACCACCTGCTCATCTCCCGGATCGTCCTTGGCTCGTTTGCGAGAAGCCCTGGCTGCGTTGGGATGAGAAGCCCTGGCTGCGTTGGGATGCAGAGTGTCTCCGACGGATACAGCCGGTAAAGCCCGGTCGAGGATCATTGCGGGAGCGGAACAGGCGGACACGGGATTGTAGGGATTTATAACTAAACGAGGTTAGTATATGGGATACGCTCGGGTGAGAAGCAAACCAGACTCTACAGGCTCTTGTAGTGAGACGGTTCTCATCCAGGTCGATGATGGTATATTGGAATTAATCCTCGACGACGAGTCGCTGAACGGCGCGCCCAATGGTACAAGTCGTATAGGCCGATAACTATATATCCTGGTGAAGAAAAGTAGGCAGAGGTGAAGACAAGTCCGAGAAAGAAGAGTTTTGTAAAGCCCACAGACACTCTACATAGAAGCCGAAACCCCTCGATAGTATCACGATAGGTATCTGATGCTATCAAAGGGAGCTTTTCAAGCCATGTGTCTGTGGGAAAAGGCATCGTAAGGAGAATGATGTGAGAATGTTCAAAGGGGTCGAAGGTGGGTTGCGAGGGGATTTAAATAATCGGGACATATTAGAAGGTACAGTCTTTCGCATTAGCAATAAACAGGGTCGATCTGCAGCTGGACTGCCCCCCAGGAACCAGTCGGCCTGTTTAATCTTAGGAGAAAACGATATTTCTCTACACTTAAGCAGCTACAGATATACGCAAAGATACACCCAACCAAACCACGAAGGTAACAACGCGAACTTAATGCTTCTGGACACCTCCAGCCTCATTCTCGAGGTCTCCAAATGTGCGGCTGGAAAACTGAAGAGCATCCCACGCTACAACGTCGATTAAGCTGGGAGTGCAACCACGCGCGAATTCCCGCAGAGATGTCAGAGAGGCTGTATCGATGGTCAGCGGACTTGGTCCCTCTGATATCGCCCGTAAGAACAAGGTAGTGCGGAACAGAAGCCCCTCCCAATCCGTCTCGAGAGACCGCCGCAACCGTGCACTGGTGCGACACCTCTCTATAAGCAGCAGATTTCTCACTTGTCTGCTACAGGTCAGCATTATACGAAACACGCGGAGTGGAAGTCTTACAAGTAAGCGGTGCTAGCAACATTGGGCATTATCATTAGCCCCTCGGAAACATCATGGAACGCTCTCAAGCTCCCGATTAGAGCAAGAACGCCTCGTTTCACCTTCTCCAAGTCCTCGGAATGCCAATCGCCAAAAGCGTGAGTGTTGTCGCAGAAACGACGGATAAACGGCATGTAGATGGCTGCCTTCGCGTTCCACCGCGAAGCTTGAATGCGTGCTGTCGCCAAATCTGAGGAAGGCGCGTCGAAGTCAAACAGAACACTCGGAGGTGGCGGCGTAAAGAACTGCTCGAGTTTCTCTGCCACTTTGCTCAGGAACACGACCACTTCGGGTTCCGAAATTTGAACCCGCATAGAGCTTAGAAAGGCGGTCGCCGCGCTTTCGGCCTTGCAAACCCACACGGAACTTTGAAAGATCGCGGCAGCACGACCACCGAGGTCATGCTCGACTGCTGATGGATATGGTATGTCGAGGAGATTCTCCCTGAGAATTCCCTGACATAACTGTTCAATGCGGATCTCACGGTGGTGGCCAATCTCGCTACGTGTGTTAGCAGGAGCTTGTACGGCCGAGAGGCGTCCCATACCTCTCCAATGCTATACAAATCCAGAAAGCGATTGGGAACGAATTCTCCGAAGTGATCGTTCCACGTAGTGATTCCGGCGAGAGGTCTTGTTTCAACAGCTCTGCGGCCTTGTGAACATAGCGCTTGCTTCCGCACACATCTCCGCAGAGCCCGCAGTAGAAGGCGATGAGAAGGCAGGCGCGGATGTGATGCAGATCCCGGTTTGTATGGTGTTCTAAGAAATTAGCAGCTTCGCGTGCGTTGGTCCTGTCAACGCGCGTTGCCGTGCATGGGGCGTCTCCAGCGTTCCAACACCACTCCCCCAAGGCCAATACAGCGAGAGCGACCGCCTTCTGAGCGGGCTGGTCACTTTCTCGGAGTGACACAATGTTGCTGGAAGTAAGCTCGTCGGGCCTGAGCAGGGGGCATAACGGCGGGATATATTTCCGAAAACAAGAGAGGTATATCTCGATATTCCGGTAGTGTAGACGCGACTCGTCTGGAGTCCCTTGCAGATCCGTGTAACCGTTGACCGCCTGACCGCCAGACAAAGTTCCCGCCGGGGCTAGGGGCGGCAAACTACGATGCGTTAGCCAAAATGGAATAGGTTATTAGAGATCAAAGTTTTACTTATGGTTGCCGGGAGAGGCCGATGCCGGTGAGGGTTCGGATATGTTCTTGCCGCTGCTGCGTCTCGGGGTGCTGATCTTCTGCGCTCGACATTTGACGGCTTCGTTCTCGCTGCGGTGGATGACGTCAAACTGGAGCTCATACCCCGGGCATTGGAGTCTTTTCGTAACGCACTGGTTGCATATCGGCTTGGTTCGATCGCACTGTGGATAGTTCGTCACTATATCACCGCGAATGGATCTAAACTGAGATAGAGGGCGTATATACCTTGATACGCCGGGTCCGGCACATGTGGCAGCTCCTGGAGGGCCTGCCCATGGTGAAGTCTTCCTTAGGGTACAGCGGGTTGCGGTGGCGGAGCGGGTGCGGGGGGATTTCAGGCTCCTGGTCCCTGGTCGTAGCGGTTGATATATGGCCTTGATCCTGGAATTTTGTGATCTGCCGGTGAAAGGGATGTTACGGGCAGCCGCGCCAAAGTCCCGACCGCCGGCTTGAAACGTGCCTGAGGCTTGGCGGAAAGCTTATTGCGCTGGCGGTCTCCGGTGACGGATTCTCACTTGAAGAGAACGAGAGCCGAGATCGACAGGCCAGGATAAGCTGGAGGGTGTGGGCAGCCTCACTGCAAATGCGGATGAAAGCCCGACCTTGTTAACGTAGGCAGCGGTTACCCTCCATCCCCTCCCCCCGTTTTTCTGGAGATGGGCAGCACAGCGTGAGAATATGGCGAATTAGGGTCAGGCAGAGGCAGCGTCGACGACAAGTGAGGACGAGGTTTTATTGCTTGTCAAAAGACCCTGGCTCGAAACTCGTTACCTGGGGGACGCCTTGCTAAGACAAGGACAGGAAGAAAAGGCCCAAAAGGGTTCACCATGGATACAAGTGGTTGTTAAATATTTTCTCCGTGGTCTGGTGGTCGCCGATGAGCTTGGTCCCCTTCCCCTCATGCTGGTCCGTTACTTTAATCTTCAAGTGGGACTGCCTGCATGGTCGTTTCGAGATCCCGCCCCGTGACGTTCTCCACACCAAACAACACCGAATCAGATAGAACAAGGTGATGCTCCCTGCGCCGCCATCCTTGCCACCATTTCCACGATACATAGTCCAAGCCGACCGCCATAGAGAGAAAACACTGAACCAGATGAAGAGACTCCCACCCATGTAGAGCGCCTACAATCGGCAATATAGAAGCGACGATATTGACCGTCATCCAGCAAGCTAGACGCAAGAGTTTGATACGATCGCCGTCGTCCCAGAGCCGTGAACAAATTCGTGTCCGGATAAGGCACGAAATAGCAAGCAAGAAGATGACGATATGAAGAGTGGCTGGTGTGGCCCATACAAACTCTGAGCCGTGCTGTGCCAGTGCCCAGATTCCTAAGGAGGTGAAAAGGATGTGAATGAACATGCCGAAGCGAACGGATCTGGTCAGCCACGGCCAGCTACCGACGAGTTTGCTGTGGAGTGGATATGCCACCACGGTGATCTGCGGCGTGTCAGTCCTGGCCCAGGGTAACAGGGCTGCTTCTTCTCACCAGGAAAATCTCAGCGGATAGGATGGGCACGCCTTTCCAAGCGAGGAAGATTTCCGGCGTGTGTGCGAGACGGCCCCCCCTGGCGAGCCCGAAGAGAACCGCAAGGGAGATCCCAACACAGAGCTCGACCAGGCAACAGCTGCACTGGAACGGATCCGGCCAGAGGCGCCATGTTGCTCGGTCATTGTTCACCGACCGGAAGAGTGATGTTATTGGCTCGCGCCAGGCGTAAAGAAATTGGAGTAAGGAAAGAAGGACAAATGCTGCAGCCGCCTGGGCCACTTGGTAGTCGGTAATGTCGTCCTGCATTGGGCGAACGAGTGACACGGCATGCGGGAGTCGGACAGGGCGTAAAGGCAACCAACGTGGCTCGCAGGAAAGCGCACGTCGTGCGACCTGGGATCCCAGACATATATTATACACTAAACTAGGAGGACAAAAGACGGTTCTTGCCTGGGCTTTCCGTCCGAGCAGCGTGGGATGCTTCGCAACCTGCTATAGGGCACTTTGTTTGTTTGATAAGTTAATGAGCTGGAACTACAGCAACAGGGGCATCCGACTCCGCGGGGTCAGCAACTGCTTGGCTGCGCAGAGGACTGCATTTGTCAGGGGCCGTGACTCCGCGGTATGATTCTCGGCTGAGCGGCCTCCCAAAGACGCAAGGTTCCATACAGTGGGAGACCCGCCCGAATCCGCCCTTCTCGGCATGAAAGATGGTTGGCAACGGGTGTCTCTATGTGAGAAAAGTATAGTTTCGTCTGCAGGGCCTGTCAAAGGTGTATATCGAGACAGCTATCGTCAAGGGTTGGCCTAGCGCGCTTATGCATGGAGTTGATCATGGCTCACGGGTGCCGTGGCTAAGAACCCAGCCAATCAACCAAGCCTGGCTGGGAACAGATCGTGCGGCTAGCACGCTATCCCGAATTGAATAGCAACCTAGGGTTGCTATTCAATTCGGGATAGCGTGCTAGCCGCCAGAGCCGGGCTCTTCTAGGGGTTCGCACCAGCTACCATCTATCCTCTCCCTATGCTCCATCCAACTATGTCCACCAGACGACTTGAAGACTTTGGCGGCAATGCCCTCGCCTATCTTGGCTACCTTTACCTTAAGGTCACTAAGGTCCCAGTAGCCGACTTGATATCTCAGCTTGAAGGGCAAGTTGCGGGATTGCACGGCGTCCAGCCTCGAGTCCCCAGTCACCGCAGTGTTCAATCGGAAGAGGATGAAGGTCAGACACAGCGCCAACACGACAGCCGAGTCGGCAACCCGCGTAGGTCGCAGTTCATCGAGCCTAAGGACTCACCGTCTCTACATATCGAGCTCTGGAATCCAACTACCGAGTACAAGCCCGCTCAATCAAGCCCGGCGAATAGAGAGTGGGAGCGGCGAACGGCGACATTTTTTAACAACCTGCCTGTGTCGGAGGAGCAGTGGTGCCAGAAAAGGCAGACCGCCCAGCTATATACTGCAGACGACGTTTTCCGCACAGTTGATTGCTTGGTGGCAGGCAGCCTAGATCCGCTGAGGAACGACAAATGTTCATCTGCGGAGAAATCCGCCTTCCTGGTCGCGGCGGGAGATCAGGGCTCAGTGGATGCTTTATCTTCCTCCGCGGAGCGGGCCGCCGCTCTGATCGCAACGGCGGAACACTCTAAGCACGTCGCACAGTTCTTTTCGCTAGTGTTCATGGCAGAATGCCGTGTGGCGTTATTCAATGGTTGCTCGGAAACCTCAGTGTACAGCGCAATACGGAAGTTTGTAGAAGCTAGTGGCGGAAAGTGCAATGGAGACAAGACGCCTGCCTTGCTTCTCTCGACAACACTATGGGTCCTCCAAGAACAACAACGGCAGTTCAGGCGCGGACTCCTACATCGCGGTTTTGAGTTGTTTTTCAATGGTAAGAAGGCAACCTTATTGTCTCTCTAGCACTAACATCATTACAGAAGGCACGAGTCTTGACTTCTACATCCGTTGCCCAAAGGAACCCACTTCGAATGCCCGTTTTACCGCCAAAATCCCCATTTGCGAGGTCCCGGACGAGATCCAAGCTTCTCTTCCACTCTGGCTTCCGTTTATAGTCGGGATTCGTAATATCAATCAGTACAGGTAAGATACTGGATTGCCGCAGCGTTCTTGGCTAACGGAACGGTAGCTACACAACCATTTGTACCGCACTTGACGTGACTCTCTGGTCTCGGGACGAGGATTTTCAAAAATGGCGGGACACTTACCTCTCGAGGACGCTCGTCATCTGTCATATCAAGGTTGATTGTCCGGAATCGGAGCTTTCGAGAAAGCTAAAAACGCGTCAACATCATGCCAAGAAGAGGAAGAGATCCCCCGAGCCAAAGAACCGAACGCTTCGGCCGAACTCAATCCACAGACAGGAGTCGCAATTCCGAGCTACGGGCGCCGGCCAGCACGGCGAGCCGGTGTTCTCACGGCATGACACGAGCCTGGCAATTCGCGATTCGTCGACTCTTGAAGGAGAAGCGGAGACGGCACCGCACTCCTCCCAGGGACAGCAAGTCACTCCAGGAGTTGATCTTCCAGGCGATGTCTCGGTGAGAACCGCGCCCGCACCGCACAACAGCCCCGCCTTGCCGGTTGATTCCGAGCCCGGCGGCAGGATCGGCCCGGCGGATCGTTTCTGTCACAAGCAAGACGCAGCCACATCTACAACGGGCACGCGTTCGCACGATGCGCAAAAGCACTCTGCACCCAGCCTCGACATGCAGGGACCCTGCGCCATCAATACCCTCGGCGCCCACCCTCCAACTTCCGATGTCCTTCTTGCTGCTGCCGGGCAAGTGGACGGGCCCGACGGCGAGGAGGATGCCGGCGCAAACCCAGAACATGTGAGGGACCAGCGCGCAGGGCCTGCGGCTCTCGGTCTTCCGTTAGCGGCCGTTGTTGAAAATGCCACGCCGGCGGCTCTTCAGACATACGTGACGGTTGGAGATGAGATGGATCAACCTACTAGCGAAGAAACCCCAGGAGAAGCAGTCAGGACGGAGGGAATCGGGACTGCCACGTGCCCACAAGCCGGCTGGGCCGCATCCGATCAACAGGGACTGTCAGACTTCATGCAGCGTCTGTCACCGGGCCAGTGGGACAGCATGGGCTACGAGCCTGGGTTTGGAGACGCGTCGTTTTTGCAGAACTTGTGGAGCGATGATTTGAATTTCATGAATTATTGAGTACGACCGTACCACATTCCGATTTCACTAATTATGGTCCTCTTGGACCACATCGTACTTCAGGACGATCAGCGCAATCCCATCACCCGTAGCCTTCATCCTCTCATCTTCGTCAAGTTGCAGAATGTCACCGATATGCAGCGTGACCGCCCGATCGTCGCCAGCCGATTTCTGGATCACGACCTCGTAAGAGCCATGGTCGCCTATCTCTTGCCCTCCCCCGGACGGAGCACTGCCTGCAACTGCTGCCCCATCACTTAGTGCTTCGGGAGGTGGTGGGACAACTATGACGACATAAACTCCACAATCTGCAGAGAGGGTCCCTTCCAGATAGATAAGTCCCAGTTCCCGCCGAAGGCGGAGAATCTTCCTTCTGAACTTTGCCTGTTGTTCAATGCACATTCGCTACATCTAGTTAACATGGCGTACCCCACGATGCATCCTTGGCTTTGGTTACCTTGTCTTCCTCGGTGTTGTATGCCTTGACAACTTCCGCGATCTCCGGTCGTAGCAGGTGCCGTTGTGTTCCAAATGGCACGGCCCGTAGACCTTCTAATTTCAGAGTTAAATCTTCGTTTCTGATAGCGGCTCTCTCAACGCGACTCCGGAAATTGTCCGTCGACCTGATGAGATGCATGTTGGAAGCCAATATCGATCTCTGTTGAACGTCTGAAGAGTAACTTCAGGTGGAAATTGCTGATGTTAAATATCGGCGACCTCCTTGTCGTATAAAGCCCTTGAGCTCCGCGTCTAAATTAGGGAATTTCACATGATGAGTCATTGCCGCTCGACGTCTGGTGAGAGTGCAAACTAGGCGTTCATTCTGGGTTAGGGTTATAAGGCATCTTGCTTAAACCTGCTCATTCAGGTAAGAGGAAACCGCGGCTGAGAATGAAACTTAGCTAAGCGACATGCACCCGCAAGTGGTTCATTTCTATCACTCAGCTCAGAGAACCATTCATCTTTATCGGTACAAGTCCAAACCCAGCCACAGATCTGTACAAAACAACAGGATAGCCAAAGGTAAATCCAGGAATAACAATCCTTCACGCTTTTCCACGTACATTCGCGTTCATACCAGATATCTGTTAGGGTGGACCTTCGCTGATTTGTGGCTCACGCTCTGAAACGACGATATCTTATTTGTCTGATTTAGGGAACCCCATTTCGCTTGCAGCTTTGTCGTCAAGGTGTTGCATAAAATCACCGCCAGGGGTTGGTGGTGGAGTGGGAGGAGGAAGGGGTAAGGGAGAATTAGAACGGGGAGTGGGAGGAGGAGAAGGTTGGTCGTTGTTCATCTGTTCGCCAGTCAGATCTGAGGAGTTGTTTGACATCTTTTCTATAGAAATCTTAGGGTTTAACGATCTCTTAACAAACTACTTTCACGAGGAGCATAAATCTCTAGAGGGGTTTAATGAAGATCTGTAATAGAAAGTGCCTACCCTGTTGCCTGCTCTTAAGTGTAATGGGTGGTTGAGTTCGACACAGACCACGAGGGTCATAGCAACCCAGCTACTTTGAGCGTTTCCTTGAGGAATGAAGGACTCCCGATTGCGGTTACGGCCTGTCCCCAGCGCTGCGTTAGTATATGTCCTTAGATGACCTATGGACTGAATGCCGAAACCTTTTGGATCTGTCAATGGCGGGTTGCAGTACCCGAAGCTGCACAGGAGAGGATTGGACGTGGTACAAATGTGGTGAAGTTCTTGAAAAGAGGTGTTTTTATCTGCCGGATGGTGAACGCACAGGTGTTCCCAGACCAAACAAGCCCCGGGTCTTCGGTCCGCTGACTCTGATCTTGCTCTGCTATAGGAGTTCTTGATAGGAAATTGGTTGTTCTTATAACCGCTGACTGGTGAGCTTGGATACGGACTGCTTAGGCGACTGACGGAGGTGTGCAGGCACTTCCGAACTGAACTCCGTCTATGCTTGCCTTTGCTCCCCAATGTAGCTCTGCCGTTGGCAATTTCTTACCACTCCCCGGTTCCCATCGTAGCCGACCATGCAGGAGAAGCGGGCACTTTCACGTTGCCAGTCCCAATCCAGGAACAGAAACTAGGTAGACGCATATGCAAACATGAATCGCGAGTCGATACAGATCGTTTTCGTGGAGCGATCTCCTCGAACCAACACGCATAATTAGCATCTTCACAGGAGTAGGCCCATGGTGCAAGGTGCACGATTCTGAGCACTTGTGCCAGGTGCACGATTCTGAGCACTTGTGCCAGGTGCACGATTCTGAGCACTTGTGCCAGGTGCACGATTCTGAGCACTTGTGCAAGGTGCACGATTCTGAGCACTTGTGCAAGGTGCATGATTCTGAGCACTTGTGCAAGGTGCACGATTCTGAGCACTTGTGCAAGGATAAAGGCATGTTTTTCCACGAAACATGAACAGGGTGCTGACGCCATACGCGGAAGAAAGCCAATGCGTTATGGTGTGAAGGAGCAAAACTGGGAAGAGGGGACGGGAATTGAGACCATGGTCAGCATATCCAAACCTCCTCGCCAGTCCCTGCGATACACGATGATCGAAGAAGGCGGATCACAGGATCCCCTAACCTCTGACACGGAGGACGTTTACAATCCATTCATCATACGTTCTGCTCTCCGCGTCCAAGTCGTTCCTCAGAGAATATATCACGTTCTTCGGTGTGTCTTGATACCTTGCTACGACAGCTCGTTGTCCACGTATCGTGAATGCATTGTACAGATACATCGGCAGGAACTTCAAGCCAGTGCACTGGGTCAACGGCGACTGGTAAGTGCTGGGGGCATTTTAAGATTGGTTGCTCGAGAACTAATGACGGAGGTGGACAGCTCCCAATTTGACCCGGTTGTACACAAAATGGAACGTGTGAGGAGAGGACACAAGTGGCTTCACGCTCATTCTTCCCGCCGAGCCGACTCGGGAGCGCGCTACGCAACGTACCCGGCAAGCGAAAAAAGAGCAACGGACAGTCGGCCGCCAAGGCAACCCATCGAGCGCCGAAGACAAGATTACCACGCAACGCCTGGTCAAACGCCTTGTGCAAGGTATAGAAGAGGTAATGATTAAGGACCTCAATCCAGCGACTGTTATTTTCCCTGCAATTGCGAAATTCCAACGGATCTTAGTTGCCTACATCTTGTTACAAGGCTTCGTCCGGGTTTGAAATGCTTTTAAGGTTTGCTTCTTGAGGCTCCCGGTTCCCAAAATATTCCAAGGAAGATCAACGCATCCTAATTGCGTCGCCGTCCAGACCTTCCAGGTACCAAGTCAATTTCAGTATGCATTCGACGTTGTGTAAAACAAATTCCTTCCCTTCGAACGTCTCCCATACCTCACAGATGTCCACGATTGGGGTACAAGTCAGACTCGGAGGCAACGTGCCCATCGTCCGCAGGCACTGTCAAGACAGTATCCTTCTTTGATGTAACCCACTGTCCGGGCCACAAATACCTTGACGGCACTGAAACTGTCTGAAATAGCCAGTGCCCCAAGTCACTCTCGAAGTGAGGGACTGACTTGCCAAACACAGACATAATAACTCACACCGAGGACGGTTGGCGAAGGGCAGCATCGGACGATGAAGGGCCTGGTCCCAATGAAACCATGGTTCCCGCGAAACCACAAAAAAGTGACTTTTGTGATCGACTACCCAAATTCGACTTGAATAGGGAAAGCCTCAAATATTTCCATGCTAAGCCACATTTCTGTTACTTTCGGAGTACCACCATTGGTCATTACTTAGCTCCTACAGTATATTCCACATCCCCTTGTATATGTATGCTTTTGGATGATTTTTAGCGTCCCCTCAGATACCGGAGAGTACACATACTCACCAGATGCTTGTCTTAGCCGACCATTACTCAACCGGGCGGTATGGGTTGCCTGATTAGTAGGTCACAGAACTCTGTCTGCGAGAGCATTCCTAACGGGTGGCATCGATCCCACCCCCCACACCCCTCCAGCGGGCCCCTTCTCAGGCAGTCCCTAGGCACCGCGGTTTCCTTGGAGTTTGACCTTGTACTAGCAATACTCGGCGACTACAGGCAACCGGACTTGCTTGCGTGCCGGAAGGTCTGCGCAGCAGTCCCCTCATAGCGGCCAGCTTTGGCGGCCTCGCAGAGATGATCAGGCTACTTCTCCAGTCTGGGGCCAGGGAAAGTGGGGTCATGGCGGGGTAAGGAGTCCTTTGGGCATCAAGGACTCGTTGTGGATTTGCACAACCACAGCCAGCAGCGGCACTACGGTCATAAATCCCAAGGGTGTTGACCATAACCATCGAGAACGCCACTGAAATAGGCCGAGATGAGCTTTACGTATCCTCCAATTTAAGTATGGTGAATGATTTATCAAGATATAAAGTCAGAGGTATAAACGAAAAGTCCCGAATGTCGATACGTTTCGATCGTCGCTAGTGACCAAACTCGAGCTGCGCAGCGAAGAAACAGCGATCGATCGGCCCGCATTTCCCTTTCGAAAGCCCATCCCCTGACCTTCCATGCATCAGAGAAGATCAACATCGCAGGTATAATTGGGGCCGATGTTTCCATTCACTCACCTAGCCGACGACGTTGCCAAAACGCGATTCCACCAGCTGTTGCGGTAGATGTACCCCGCTTTCCCGTCCCATTGCACAGACCGCAGACGAAGCCACCAACGTCACCGCTCCCCTTGCAGTCTGGACATGTCGATGACATCTCTTCCCGGGCGATAAATAAGATTATGGCTGATGTCGATAACTAAGTATTGGGATCCCGTCCGGTCGTCTTTGCACTTTCTGGTTTGGTGGTTTCTTTCTGGGCTGCCTGGTGCCGACGAAGCGAGACCCTAAATAGGAGTTTGGCTTCTCTGGTCGCTAAACGCGTCATTCCGTTTCGACCGTGAAGGAGCCCAAGGGGTAGGCTAATTGCATCAGCGAATCGCAATGACCCCGCTTCACACCAAGGCGGGTTCCGGCCTCCACCCTCTTTTCATTCTGCCAATTCCATCCCTTTGATGATCTCCCAAGCCCAATATGCCTCACGCCGCTTTGCAGTGCCAGACGTGCTTTGCGCATTTTCCAACAGATAGAGCCCTTCGTAAGCACGTTAACGGTTATCAGGTTAGTACATCGAGGCTTTTGCATACCAGTTATTGACATTACCAGTCTCGAGCGAATCAATTACTCGTTGAGCTACAGAAATGTCTGGCACATTTGACTCCGCTTGACGCATATCCCGCGTCCGACAGCGGCAATGGCGGAAGCAATAAAGATGAGCACCGCAACAATGACGATGACGATACAGACATCGCCGATGCTGAGGACGACGGGACCATTCGCACAAGGACTGGTACTGACGAGCATTCCCTGTTTTGTTGTCCTCACGAGGAGTGCGACCGTAGGGAGCCATTCACTAGAAAGCAGGATCTTCTACGGCATTATACAAGATGTATGTCACACCCGGCCTCTGCAAGATGGATGGTTTGCTGACTGTTCAATCAGACGTTCCTTGCAATGAGATCTGCCCATTCTGCTACGAGACTTTCACCGTAGCCCGTCAATATTTTGTACACAATTGCAAGCGCAGAGAACCCGGGGACAATTCCAGGGAACAATATGTAAAGCAGCGACACCAAGAGCTACGAAGACTTACGGCTGAGTTGCTTCATCAAGCATTTCACCGGCAGAGACTCCTCTCGAACAGCCATAGGAGCGGCAGAAAAAGAAGCAGGGAAACAGCAAGGTTGGATTCGCCTGTCCAAGAAGGAAAGCGGATGACATCTCCGAAAGACTGCGACGCGAACCCATTGCCGACGTTTCATCCCCCCTTAGATGGTATGATAAGTGTCCTTGGGTTACTACCGATCTATCTAATCGTCGCGCAGGCGCAAGAATCGAACCTGTTTCCATACAGACATTGACCACACCTCCACCAACAGACATCAACGGTACCATGCCCTCAGATTGTAACTTCCGCAGGCTGAGGTTCGCGTCTGGGTTCCCTGAAGCAGCATCTGGGGGTTTCCGTCCGCGAGCACCAGTCTTCGAGTCTCTCACGATGTTGCCAAACTGCATGCCGCAAGATAACACGACACCGTCACAGTTCACGTTGCGAGCGCCTGCCCTTGAGTTCCTACCGGACTATACGCCACAACAAGAGAGCACAACATCGCCCGACTTCCCGTTGCGAGCACCAGCACTTGAGTCTCTCCCGATGCTACCAAATTATACCACACAGCAACATGAACCAACGTCACCTAGGTTCCTAATCAATCCTGGCGACGACTTCTCCGCTAATCAGAACATTATCTAAACGACTACCCTCAGACGCAAGGATTCTGAAAAGGAGAAGGGAGGAAGGAGGAAGGGCGGTAATGGGTAGGGTTGTGAACTGAAATGCAACGAGCCGGTCATGACGTATTGCCAATGGATGTATCATTTATCCCGACTTTTCGAATGCGAAGTTCACCCCAATATGTTTGCTCTCCATTTCAGCCATCTTCTGGTCGAGCCTGTCTATTTGCTTTGGTATTCGCATCTTGCTCCACGTTCGAAGTTCCTCCTGCGTCGCGAATGCAAACGTGATCGCGAAACCTTCGATAATGTTGAAAGCGAGTCGCGCATCTAGGAGTGCTCTTCGACACATGTTAGCGTAAGCGGTCAAGATGTGAAGTGCGTACTTACAGCCCGCCACGCTCCAGCACAACTTCCGTTGGTTGAAGCCCAAGTCCTTCCAGACGCCCAGACGGAACCTCGAGCAGGCCATTTGCAGCAGCGATACCATTCAAAGCGTGGAGTTGCGAACGGCCCCAGAACCTTACTCGTGATCCGTTGCTCCATAACTGCACCACAAGGACTTGCATCTCGGTAGTCGCTCTATTCATGAACAGAAAATTGTGATCTGGGTCGCGGCCGAAAGTCCGGTAAAGTCCCAAACCTGACCAGTCGAAAAAGGATTCGAGGATAGTTCGGACACGCTGCTGACTGTTAGACCGTACCCTTAGAGGTGCTTTCCTTACCTACCACATCATCAAGGACGTTGACTTTACAGAAGTCGAGGCCGTATTCTGATGCGTAGGGAAAACCCTTCCCCTCCATCTCCTTAACACGCTCCCCAATCTGAGGATCCCTCACCAGAAAGAATCCATCTTCTAAAATGGACTTTCGTGCGTCCTCCGCAGTCTCCCAGGCCATCGGGTTCACAGCACAAGCTTAATTGTAGTAGAAGCGCTTCAGATACTAGCCAGCCCGAGAAGGTGACGTCCGATGCAAAGAGGGGTTTGGGTTTTTTATCAAGCATGTCTGCCCCGCCCAGTCATTTTGCCTTCGCATGTGACTGCTGAGTCCAGGCAGCAGAGGAGATGTCACGTGACTCGAAATTTCTTGGACTTTCCTTTGAACGCTTGCTGAAACGCCGAGCCTCTTGCTACTACACTGCGGGGCTGCCCACAGTTCGGAAAACGACTTTGTTCTCCCAGCCAGGCTATGTCGGTCGGTCGAAGTTGCAGGGTGGGGCCCGCTGTCCCTACAGGAAGACAACTTGATGTTGATTGGATTTCGTTCGGCTACTTCGCTGTGTCCACGATCACTGGACTTACCCTCATGGCTAACTCTCTCGATGCCCGACAAAGTCTGTACGACGTCGAAAGCATGCTCCGCTTGTTGTGGTATCTGGGACGTGTGGACGACCAGGAAATCTGGACGCGTTTGGGAGACTGGCGTAGCCGACTCGAGTCGGAAGCCGGCAATGTTAGAGTGCAACAGTATATGCCCCTTTTCGCCCCAAGTTGCCCCTCAGGCCTCTTTACAGTGTGACAGTATGGGGGCGAAAGCCATTCGACGGAGAGGTATCGTTGGCCTCGGAAGGGTAGGCTTCGCATAGGCCCTAGGGAGACGACGAGGTGGGCCGAGACAGGTTGTCTATGGGAGACTAGAGGCGGTATTATGCTGTACATAGCTTGAAGTGAACCCTATGTCCATCTATTCCAACCAGGAGTCGCAAAAAAGAGTTACCCTGCCTGTCTCTTGCGGTGACATCGCATTCGATGTGAGAATAAGCTATGTGGAACGAGCCCCGACCGACTAGCTTCCGCCATCCAGACAACCGTTGGTTCTTCAGTAACAGTTCCCCAGTCAGCCCAGTTCATAGGTGATGTGGACAATCTGATGCCATTGTTGCGTTCAACGCACTTTTTTGTTGGTTAGAGGCTTAGGGACGGTGGGAGTTGTACGTGGATGAATCGAGCACATTCCTCGGACTGCCTCAGCGTCGTATGCGGCTCTACGGTAAGCTCCGTTTGGCCGATACTAAGTGGGACCGTTATACATCGCCAATCACACCACTACCCAACAGCCATCGACTTGCGACGTAGAAGATCCGTCCGGCTGCCACCCGACCTCAGAACATGGCGACTAGCACGCATCGGAGCCTTGCGAAACACAGAGCAGACCTTTGAGCACTCGGGAAACGTTTTGTTATCGACCTGGCTAACGAACGACACCGACGACGACGGCCCGGGCTAGGTGCCTCTTGCAGATTACCCCACGTTTTTGAAGTTGGCGTTGAAAGACGGTAGCGCAATCAACTGTCCTATCCCCGGCTTCCCCCAACCATAACCTTCAGTTCGTCCAAACTTTAACCACGTGGGCGAGTCCAGGCAGGCCCACCCCGGGCTTGCTGGCGGTTGAAATGCTGGCGCCTCATCTTCAAGACTCTCATTATAGAACCAACATTGGCGCGATTGGGACTTTTCTCCCAATTTCTTGTACTTCCGAGTTTCACCTGCTCAAGGTCAAAGACCATCAATCGCCCGTTATTCAGCATCATGAAGTTGTCCAACTTCATATCAGTGTAGTGGACTCCATATGATGTCAGAGCACCAAGAGCCTTCTCAAGCTGCTGTTCCAAAACTTGTTCGGGGAGATCGAGCCAAAGGTGGGTTAAGGACTCTCCCTCGATGGGGGACAAAACCAATGCTGGAGATCCATCATACACAGCTTCGCCATAGAAATGCGGAACGATGGTCCCCTGGATCGGCTTCAAGACGTCGTAGGCTTGCTTTTCTGTTTCGAACTCTGCTTCCCAGCCGGTCTTTCGCTTCTTGAGGATGACTGTCGGTGGTAGAAACCACTCGGGCCAATGCGCTCTTGCCCAGGGGCAAAGAGAAGCGAACCGTCGGATCAGCGCAATGAACAAGGGTGGTCGTTTGAGCTCCAGGCGGTACACCGTCCCTACCAACAACTCGGCCTTTTCAGCGACGACGAGCCGGGTACGGAGACGAAATTCCTGCTTGTGTTAACGCCAATAGTGATGGAGACCTACAAGAGCTTAGCTTACCAAAGGAGGTCCATCATTTTGCAGCAGTAGCTCGTCATCCGTATCCATGGTTGACAATAATGGTGAGGAACCTGCGACGCTTGGGTTTGGAAATTCCGTGAGGGGCAGCAAATGAAATTTATAGCTGACTCAGACCCCGCCCGCCAGCCCTGCAAGTAGCCGACACAATTACTGCAAACAATTTCCAGTGTCATACACCAGCCCCCCATCCGGATAGTTACCATTATCATCCACCCAAATCCAATATCCGCCCGTCTCTAATCTGAAAAACTGGCGTTTCCATCCATTTGGATGGCCATACTGGTAACGACGATGGGCCACCTCCCACAATGGCTTTCCTGACCACCACTCGTATACACGAGGTATTCCGTCAATAGCAATGGTCACTATCTTTCTTTTCGAACCCTCCTGAGCAGCCAACGTCGCCGAAAGACGCATCCAGCCTCTCCAAGCCAATCGGTAGAGTGCGTATTTAATAGTGCATTGTTCCTGGGAAAGTTGATCCCTGGGTATAATGCAGATATCGACATGGCAGTCCTGATCCTGTATCTGATCCTTGTCCGCAGCTCTGAATTGCAGAATGACGAGGTGTACTGAATCGAAGACGAAGACTTGCGGGCACTTGTAACGATGAGCATATCTGCGTCTCCAATAAGCTTCAAGAAGTTAAGCAGGCGTATAGTACTGACCCTCTCATCTCCCTTTGGAGTCTCTTCGTCATATCGCCTGGGTCGTCCACCCACCCCCGCCGGCTTGGCGTCCACTCACTTGGTACGATAACATACGGCTGCTTCAGCTCTCCTATCATGGCGGCTCTCTCAAGCAGGGGGTTCGGTCCTGGCCAAGTGAGCTGATAGTCAACTGTCACTGATGTGTTTGTTGGTCCAGTCGGCCCACAGAGCGACCTAGGCCAAAGGAACGGCCCACCAGAAAACGCAAGACGGAACGGTTCAAAATTCTGGTCGAAGTCACGAGTCACGTCGCCTTCGCTTAGGATTTGTTGGTGGGCGAGATTCAGGGGATGAGCGGGGTACTGAAGACCAATGTTGTCAACCTCCGAAGGCAGTTGCTGATCGTAATTGTTGCCATAGTTGAGGTCAGGGCCCAGAAAGTTGTCGATGGATCCCTTGGTTCCCTCGTGAAAGGTTACATGTCGCGGATGCAGCAAACGATATCCGTCGGCCCAAGCCTTGCGGCTTACACTAGGTCGCCGATCCACGGCCCAGGAAGGCGTATCGTAGAAGGCATCAATCAGACCTCCCACAGTGGAGTTCATTTTGAGTGAGGATGGTGTGGTGTGAATTGAAGCAAAGGAACGGAGGCGAAATAGTGAAGGCAGCTGTACTTTAAAATGGATAGAAATATCGTGCAAGCAAAGCGCCTTCTTATACCTTCTGAAAGACAACTATAACCTGCCTCAGGATAAAGCCTCTGGTAACGTATACTCTTAGCTACATCTTACATCGTGGAGCCACGAATCTTGGGCGTATCAAGGACTGTCCCATTCAAGCAGCAGAATGTGGGGCAGTCTTTTCGATTGGCTGTAGAGAGAGCTGCATGCGGGGTAGCTGGCCAGCGCGGCTGCGAAACCATAAGTGGGTTCCAGACTCGGCGGCGTTAGACCGAAGAGCCAATCAGAGCACTGGGATCTGGGGCCGCCAGCTTCCGACCCACTCTTTCCTTCGAACCCTCTCGAGGGTTTGAACCAACAATGGTGGGCATGGTGTGTCCTGGTCGGTAAGACTGCATTCCTTCGGCTATGGGAATGGGAGAATAGCTCTATTGGATTGGCTACGTAGGGCTCTTTGTGGGGTAGCTGGCGGCAGCTGTCCACGTACAAATGACAATTGTGGGGGCGACCTTGAGGTTGCTGCATCGGGATGGGGCGGCACTTCACTGGTTGAAGTTGCGGCGATGTTAAATGAACGGGGTTTAGGGTAGAACAGAAATGCAGCCATCGGTTGATACCCGATGAGTCGACATAGCGAAACAACAGCGTGCGTGCAAGATTATGTAGCATAGACGAGAAACCTCAAAGCGGCATACCGTCCGTAGAGGTGGGGTAGGAAGTATGACGAAACGGTCACGGGCCTCGTGTTCGCGATATTCAGTTTGATGCAGGTGTTCCCAGGTGGGTGGGTCGCAGCAAGTTTGTTGGATTGTTAGATTGTTAGTTTGTTCGTAGAATCTGTAGAGCCCACTTTTCTTTGTTGAATTGGTGGTTTACGCCAACGCTAAAGAGCATTGAGCTCTCATTCCACCCTCTGTAAACTTTGATTGATTGGTCAATTGCCCTCCATCACTGCGACAGTATCAGCCTCATGGTACTAGGCTTCAGCCTTAGCGACCAAACAGAAGCCTCACAATAGAACCGAAGATGCAAGCTTGATAGCGCCAGCTCGATGGGACTCAGCAAGGCAACGAACGGTCATTGTAGTTCGTTTTTGGTTCTTCCATGCACACCACCGTCCAGCTGTCCTTTCTAGTTACCCATGGTGCTCACGCCCATGTTCCTGCGGCAGGGTTGAAAGCAGATCATCACGTCAATGTGTTCATAATGTACGTTGGCTCACAGAGGATAGCACCACGATGAATGCACAGAAACCTAGATGGTGTTGCAATCCATGTTCACATATGCGCCCAGCCAGTTTCGGTTGCTGGACAAGGGGCGTCACAGCGTTCTAATGGTCAATGGCTCGGGCTTCATCTCCAGAAATTCGGGTTCCCTTTCCGACTCCAGAACATCCCGTTCCGACTCCAGATCATCCCATTCCGACTCCAGAACGTCCCAGTCCGACTCGGACTCGTCCTGCTTGACACGATCAGGCGTCTCATTGGCGCCTGGGGAATTGAGCCGGTCCGCCCAATCGAGAGACGAGGTTTTGCCGCCATCCATGGTAGTTAGCAATAGAGCGTGTCCCCACAACGCACCTCCCCCTTTAGCTACCAGCGTGTCTTCCTCTTCAGCAACCGGAGATGGCGAATCCCGTGGGGTCCCAAGGAGAGAATTTCGACGGCATTCCAGATCATCTTTGAGTCTCATCATTATATCCATATCAGGATCGTTGTTTCCTTCCTTTGCATATTGATCAGAGGCCACGAAGTGATCCTGCTTGGGGTTTGGGCCTGCTGGCTGATGAGTAGAGAATGGGTACATTCGTAGCGGTGTTCTACGGCTCGGGCCCCCTGGCAACTTCCAGAAGGGCGTCTCGGCTGTGCGCATCTCTTCAGGTTTTGCTGCTATATCAACAGGAGGGGCTTACTATCAAGAAACCTCTTATCAATAATAGCCGTCATGTCCAGCTGACCTGGATTGTCTGGCAAAGCCTCCTGGACCATACCTGTAGTTCGGTCCATGATACTAGGAGGCCGAGGGCAAGTGGAAATAGAGGAGTGTATCTAGACGGCAGGATTAGAGGGCCTTTACCTGTCATGAGTGCCCAACATTTATAACGGAGCGTGGATTTACGATGGTCATCTGCCGGCAACCGGTTTGACCCAAAGGCTACCGTTTGTACGAGGTGGTAGTAGTGGCACGCATCTCTTGTCTCCTCCGTCGTTACAGCACATTCGACTGCATCACCGCCGTGACCGCCAATAATAGCGTAAAATCTCGCCAAATCCGTCCTCTTCTACTGCACAGTCTAGGCCAAGGGACATCTCTAACCCTGTGTTCCGCCCACTTCAAACCCTGACTTCCAGTTCTCAACGCATCAGGCAGAGTTGAAGCGCATTGCATAAGGCAAGCCTAGGATTGGTCACCGGGTTTAAACTGCGCAGTAGAAGAGGACGGATTTGGCGAGATATCACGATAAGTACAATTCTCGGTTTCAAGGTGGGAATAGAAGCAGGGAGGGGTTTGTTGTGCGGTGTTGTCTGTGTAAGGTACGTATGTACAGTGTAGGTACGGAGGTACAGTAGGTACTCCCTCTGTGGGCCGGTCAACCGGCAGACCGGGTACAAACTACCTCCGTACCTACTGCGATGTAACGTTAGTCGTTCTTGGCAACCAAGCCTATCGAGATCGGGTATTGTATGTACATACAAGCATTACAGTCCGCCTGATATTTACGGTAAGAATTCGTTACCCCGCTTCACATCACGGAAGGAGTCCGCGGAAACAGACATAGGCCACCGCCGCCACGATGCAGTCCCCTGCCCATGAGCATCGTTGCTACTGCGGCAAAGTGTATCAGGCGTTGGCCTCTCTCCAACGGCATGCCAGGAACTGTCCCGCAGCCTCATCCGAAGATTGCAGACACCTCCTCCAGCTCTTGGCTTGCTTGGAGCCACAACCGGTCCCAGGAGATCTATTCTATCGTACATTCTATCCTTTTCGGCTCTGGGACGAGGATTGTAACGAGTCTGTTGGACAAATTTTTCACTTTCCCTCGATCTTTGAAACCGAACGCCGGCTACAAACGACCATACAGGATGCAATTAATGCTGGTGCTCTTCATGTAACAACGACCAGCTCTATGGTCTCTAGTAATGGCTTATGGTGGGCTTGCCGTTACTTTACACTCCCTAGTCCATCACAGGTGTTCATCCGGAACGACATGGCCTCTACACAAGCCATCGACGGGGCTGGAACAATGCTAGATTTCATGGAGCTTCAGGCTATACGAGTCTTGCTCCATATCTTCCCCGTTGCGGACCTTGACGAAAAGTATGTCGTCGTTTAGGTTTGTTGATGTTCGAAAAGGCTAATGTTTTCTAGTTTCGTTGAGAAGGGCAGTGTTTTCTTTCCATTTATGGGGCTATTGCAGCGGCTGCCAACCGACAGGCTCCATCCGCAAGAAATTCCTAGAGCGGTAGATGTATGCATCTCTGCCTCAATGTTCGGGGAATCCCAAAACAAGGAGATTATGCTTTTAGTGGCCCAAAGACTTTCAAGCCAAACCCCGCTGTTGCCACTTAAAATCAGCGTTCAATTACGTCAGATGAAGCTGCAATTGTTGAACGGGCATGCCATTCCCTCGCTCGTCCCGCCCGTCTCGGGCCGAAAGGGCCACATACAGTCCGGCGAGTTTCTACTCCTCCAGTCACAGCAAGCTATCGAAGAAAGTCGACTTCCTAGGGCATGGCAACTGTTGCAGCAGTGGGCGCCTCAAGATGTGGCACACCCTTCTGGACTCGAGATTGTGATACGTTCTCAAATCGACGTCATGAAAGGAAAAGTTCGCCGTTTCCAAGGGTACTTCGAGTTAGCGAGACAATACCTCGAACCTCTAGTTGAGGAGAATTCTCCAACTCGTATACAATTCTCCTGCCGGCTACACTTAGCTGCAGTCTACACTGAACTTGGGCTCTGGGACAGGTCAGAAGCCATCTTGGATGCAACCGAAGCCAAAACCGGAAGACAAGTCCGCCTCCTCCAACTCTCGACAGCAGAGTATTATCTTGCTCAGGGATTAGCTGGCTCGGCCAACCATCTCGACTTGGCACGGGAACTATATACCGATCTCTCCGAGAAGTACGAGGCACTGGTGCCTTCTAGCAAGGCCACGAAGCGCAATTTTTTCCGGATTTGCTTCGGCCTTGCGATAATTAGTCACATTAAACGACCGGCCAAGCATCGATTTAGTATGATCAAAGCACTAAATAACTGGCAGCTTGCATATCGGGCTTGCCGTGAAGGCGTGGCTTTAGCGGAAGGGTTCCCCGATTTGATTTGTCTCTTATCAATGGCTGAGATCAAAATTTCCTTGTCTGATCAGACATCGGATGCCGATCTTCAGCATGCACTACAGATATGGTGCGGGATAATTCGTCAGAAGCTCGACCAGCGGTTCTTTTTCACAAATCTCGGCACACGGTGGGCCAATCTACTATGCGATTGGCTAGAGATCGCTGGAAAGCCTTGTTTTCTTACGCGCTGGGCTATTGAACAGGGCGTTGAATAAGTGGAGTTGGGTGGTGGCTGGGTGGGCGAGAGAGGGAGACAATTGGGCTGATCTTTGACAGCCTGCAGCCTAGTGTGATGGACATGAGCGAAGTTCAGCCCCATAGCAGGACGCGGGACAAAGTGGGGCACAGCTCCGCTCTTGCTGCATAATAAGCAAACTCCCCTCGCATTTGGTGCTGTCAGTCCCGGTTGCAGATATGCGTTTGCTCTTGTGCGCTACCCGTTCCACACACTCCGGGCAATGAGGGACGCAACTGAGGGGAAACTGGGACGTGGCTTCCTACTATAGCTAGCGACATCTGGATTCTGCGTGACTGCTCTGCCAAGCTCTCTCTGGCTCCCAGATCCTCTCTCAGTTTCAATTCGACAACGACGATAAAAAGTGGGTAAAGGCGTACTTTGGTTGGCTGTCGTTGAACGTTGGAGGAGTGTCTGCAGTAGCGCCGATAGTATTAGCGGTAGAGGGGCTGTTTTCAGCCCCATAGCAGGACACGGGACAAAGTGGGGCACGGCTCCGCTCTTGCTACATGGCTCCGGCACGGTAACGAGGCTTGGCAAGGAGCTTGCATTTGGTGCCATACAGCTGCTGGTTGCCGATGTGCGCATTGTGCGCTAGGGTGTGTATTGAGCTAGCAAGACACGGGACAAAGTGGGTCATAGCCCCGCTCTTGCTGCTTGGCAAACAGCCCTCGCATTTCCCACCCACATGCGTAAGCTTGTACTGTATACATATACTGTACGTCCGTAGAATATGGTGTGTTAATGGGATAAGCGGTGCGACACTCGTCTAGGTAAGGAATTAGGAGATTGTGTATTAAGTTATTTATCTGGCACGAGTACATGTTGCGCCCTGGCCTGCAGCCTCTTTATAGTTTATACCTGTTGTTAATACACGGTCACGGTCAAATGGGCACAGTACCTCAATTTTGACACAAGCAGTGTGTGCCGGGCGATGTTTCCTTGCTACTTTCAGACTATTGCTGCTCGAGCTCCATCATGGCCATCGCTCTCTGTACCTCTTGGTGGCTTTGCCGTTCGAGAATCCTCCGCCTCCAGTATTCTCCGTTCAGCCACGACTGGCAAGCCTCTCCATCGTCACAGGGGCGATCCTCGCTGTTAAAGATGGGATGGATGTAGTTTAGGTCTTCTGCATTGGCAACACGAAGAAGGGCATGGCCCATATGTTGGTATGTTGGAGTGTAGCCATAAATTGGTCGTTCCTTTGTTGGTATCCATCCGATCCCATCCTTTATGAGCTCGGCAAATTTAGCCAGCCAAGAATCCGGTTTCGGACAGGTCTCAGTAATGGGGACAATCCGTTCGAAGGAGACCAAAGCCGATAATCTCAACATTGCCGTTGCAGCATCCATTTCTTCACCCATATTCTTGATAAGCCAGTCGTTGAAATTATGTAGAAGGAGGAACGAGGAGTTTGGGAGTGGGCCCCCTTGATCCTTGCTGTCATGGGCAAGACCACAGAGATACAACAACATGTGTTTCTCCTCCGGGTGGATAGAGTATTGCTTCGACAACTCATTTTCCCTGTTTCTGATTAGATGACAAGTTTTCTTATACGAAAAGAAAACGTACAGAAATGCGTCCAGCTTCTCTTGGTGTGCTTTGTCAAGATCAAGTCCAGACACGAAAATATCGAAACACGTAGTAATATACGGTGGGGGCTTAGAAGCTAACATCTCGAGAAGGCTAAGGCAGTTCGGATCACCATTGTCTTGTAGGCAATACAATCAACTTCACTGTCGCGTCACGACTCCATTCATGAGTAACGAGTTAGGTCAGTGTGCTATATATGTCCCTAAAGCTAGCATTTCACGCCCCGCCCGCGCTTGCCGACTGGCCTACTCCTAGGACTCCGTACCACAACGCAATCGCGTCGAGAACTGGTCTGAACTGGAGCGGGCCCTGAAATTGAGTGTGGGGGACGCATGTCTCACGACAAAACATCGCCCAACCCCCCTGAAGATGTCAAGTCTTCAGTGCGACTCAAGCCACCCGGAACATCCAAACATGCCACTGCAGGCAAAGTCACACCAAGAATTCACTAACTTCACTTGGAACCATACAAGGGGAGGGAGACACCACCTACAGTGTACCTGGGAATAGGACCGAGAAAGATAGCGGGCAATGCGGGGAATGGAAGTCAAACAGGATCATTCGCTTGGAGACCGTGGAAAGTCAGGAGGTTTGACATGGCTGTAGGGGTGCTTCGCTGGCAGGGCGTACATGAGGTACCCACGCTTACAAGTGGACGCCGGGGCTGACATGGATATGGCGTAGCGGTGGCAAGGTAAAACAGGGATCGGCCAAGCCTGGGAAGATGCAGCGGAGGGGTCGGCCGCGATTGTGAAGGGAAATCTTTCGTTGCCTGGCGGTCTCGCACTTGAATCTGAGAGTCAGGAGAGGGCATGAGGGTACCATCGTATGTAGGGTTGCCGACTCGGCTGTCGTGTTGGCGCTGTGTCTGACCTTCATCCTCTTCCGATTGAACACTGCGGTGACTGGGGGCTTGAGGCTGGACGCCGTGCAATCCCGCAACTTGCCCTTCAAGCTGAGATATCAAGTCGGCTACTGGGACCTTAGTGACCTTAAGATAAAGGTAGCCAAGATAGGCGAGGGCATTGCCGCCAAAGTCTTCAAGTCGTCTGGTGGACATAGTTAGATGGAGCATAGGGAGAGGATAGATGGTAGCTGGTGCGAACCCCTAGAAGAGCCCGGCTCTGGCGGCCAGCACGCTATACCGGATTGAATAGCAACCCAGGGTTGCTATTCAATCCGGTATAGCGTGCTGGCCGCTCGATCTGTTCCCAGCCAGGCTTGGTTGATTAGCTGGGTTCTCAGCCACGGCACCCGTGAGCCATGATCAACTCCATGCATAAGCGCGCTGGGCCCCTTGCCTTTTGGGAGGCTTGGAAATTTTTACTTCAAATGGTTTTGTATCTCCTAAGGGCTTCCTAAAAGTAGACAACTTCGATCTAGCGGTATACCTATTTGACCCGAAGCTAGATAAGAATATCGACCATTTGTTAAGTGCTGTCCTAGCTTTACTGCAAAAGAAGATCCACTCGTTTTGCCAGCAGCTGGATGTAAGGAATCAGCGTGACAGACGTCTAGCAACTGAAATCAAGAAGACGTTGCTTTACATGGTATATTGGACGCTCGTTGATGGTCGCAGACGGGCTTTGACGAGATCTCAATTCTTTTGGCTGGGATTAAGCAGCTCGCCGAGACCTCACTGGAGCGGCTTCAAGCCACTTCGGCCACGGGCATCGATTGATTCGATCATACCCCCCCGGGCCGCCGCACGACTAGCGACATTGGAACCCTACGCGACTGCTCGGAAACGGTGATCCAAAAAGGTTGTGTTAGCTGTTGTTGAATGGCTAGCATTGAGCAACAATGCAACCTGGAAGCGAGGCGTGGCTGCAGTAGTGTGGTCAGTGTGGTGTCGAGCAACACATCTCATGCCTTTGCTAAGGTCTAGAACACTGAACACCACCACCACTCGGCCTTTCAGGGCGAGGTTAATCTGAATGATCTGGCAACAGCCGCGCCGCAGGCGAGAGCGCTTTTTGTCTTACCCTTCTACCTAATTGCGTGTAAACTGGAAGGGTGTGCCAGGAAACGACCAAAACAAATATTGATCAAGTGACAGGCTTCAAGAAGCATCCAGGCACGGGTGTGTGGGGCCTGATCAAATTCCCCGGTTTTAAGTTGGAGCCCAGCCGAACCACGATGGCTCCTGCCCAGTGCCCACTCTTACGGGCTGCGGCAGCACAAGGCAATTGAACGGAACACGGGAGTCATTACATGACTCTACCCCTTTGGCCAATCCATTGCGTCCGGGAAGGCAAACCTGCGATCATGCATAGCTGCATCCGGCATGTACAGGTGTACCCAATCAGGGGCGAGCATCAGTGTGACAAAGCCTCACATTATGAGAAACACGAAGGGCAGCGGCGTCCTCGCAAGCCAGGCCGAGTGCGGTGAGAAGAAGTCTGGGGGTTAGAGGCATGGGTGGGAAGGTGGGCTAGAGCGGAGCATTGCGAGCAATGTTGATGATGTTGCCAAAAGACGCCAGGTATAAAGAGGCGATAGGACACGCATTAGGGAATATGCTAACAGCAACACTTTTGTGAACTTAGCAACTCCTGAAACGGCCATAGTGTGCAGTTCACCCAACACTTAATCCTTCACCATGTCAGGCGGCGCCGGCCTTGGCGGCGGTGGTTTTTACAAGTTTCGCTGCAAGTATTTCTGGACTTATCCACGCCCCTGCACTAACTGGGTGTACGCCAACGGCCACGCATGTCCAATGTGCCTAGTAAGTTACTAGGATAGCTCACTACCTTACCTTAGGTTGTTTCTCAAATTTCTAACCCTCCGTTCTAAAAAGGCCCATGGCCGTGAATAAACCGGAGGGATCGGGATGGAAGGCAAGGCACGGGCGAGGTGCTTAATCCTTGAGAAGTTGAAGTTACCAAACTAGTGCTCGGGCTTCAATCCAATGTTAACCCCAGTCTCTATCGCCCCTCGAAGCACTGCCGAGCTTCCTCAAACCGGCCTTTCCCCCTCATGATGCGACCAACACAGTAGATATGATCCCATAGCAGCTCTGGCCTTTCATCGATACCAACAGGCACATATTTCTTTGCTTCTTCGTGTGCCTCAGAGAAAAAGAAGTTGTACACAAGATTGCTTGCCTGTGAAATGTACAGAACACCTATGACGTCGGCAGGTGCGGGCGGCGCGCGGGAAAGGAACTCATTAATGAGGTGCATAGAGCTTTGATTGTTGCCTTTGAGTCGCATCAGGGTGCTTCGTTGCTGGACCACCGCTATCTGGAGCTGCAGGGGTGCGTGCTCGCCAAGGAGCAACTGCGCCGAGTTTGGCCCTGGATGCCGCGATTAGACATTCGACGATGTCGACTCGATCGTGGCGGACACCACGCTGAACGAGAGCTTCGAGTGCCGCCAGAACGTTCTGGGCCTGAGGGCTATGCCTATTACAGAGTGAGCTGTGTTCCAATGGACTGACACAGGGGTCGGACATACATAGGTTTCCCAAGAAGTGTGTTACAAAGTAACTGGAACTGGGCTTCTGGCGAAAGAGGTGCTTGTACTGGTGGCAGCACTCGGAGCTGCGACGGACGCCGGTGGGATACGCCCCAACAGGTATGCCTCCGTCGATAGGACTTTCCACATTGAGTACATGTCCGATTCCTGCTTTTCCACGTGACTAGTAGCATGCCGTCGGCGAGCATTTCGGCGCGGTGTTTCTCCATGTCAAGATTTCGGCGCGGAGTATGATGGATAGAGTCGTGTTGGGCAGTCATCTGTCGTGGTAGGCACTCATCTGTGTAGGTTAGGCAGCAAGTATGTAAGGTACTATAGTACATACACCAAAACGGAAATAAGGATTTCCGCATACCGAGCCTCATGCATGTTCGGCAACCGGAATGCAGATACATATGCAGTACCCGGATAGAACCAGCCCTCAGTGTCCACAATGATACACACGCGCCGAATTACACTAAAGTAGCGGGTCGAAACATGCAGGCGACCTAGCGACTGGTGAGATTCCTACCCTAAAAGGAAAAGAAACTTCCGCATGTTTCTGTGCCCCGCACTTGGCGCCAACACAAATTAGCCCTGCCCACCTCCAAGTTAGTATAGTTTTTAGAATCACCCCTCCAGCCGCCGAATTTGGCAGGGCAAGGCCGCCATTTTCGGGTGCCTTCAATGGTCGCATTGCAGCGGGATTCATCGGACTCACGTTTTGGTGACCCCTTGGCTAGCGGAATATCCCCCTGGTAACCCAAAGTCCCTTCAAACGCGAAATCGACCACCGTCAGTAATGAACCGAGTGAACCACCCAGCCACACACCCCACAGGCAATGAATGGTAGACAGGCGAGACATGGCCAATACACGTGTACAATACAACGAGTGGACATGGAGGAGACTGGCTAGGATGGTTTCTAGTACTTGGCCCCTTAGAGCGTCGAGGTCGAGAAGGAAGTGCTTGCGGTTAGACCGCTCACGGGTGTTCCATGAGTAGAGACATGAGACATTGATTGGGTTGACGCCGAAAGTGTGTGTCCCGGCGTCATACCGCAGCCACCCACCGTCCCCCGCCGCAATCCCTCAACCCAACCACAGTGGCAACTTGCCCCAGGCGGCCACATTCAGGCAATGGTGGCAGCGTCCGGCAAGTCGCCATAATCGGTGCTGGCAACAGGGGTAGCCGGCATTTCCAACTCGAGCTCGACATCGTACTGCGGATTGACTCCGAATTGATGCGTCTCCGAGTCGTACCTGAGCCACTTGCCGTCTTGAGCAGCGATGCGGCAACCCAACCAGAGCGCCCGCTCCTTCCTCTCCTCCGTCATGGAAAGGACCTCAAAGTACTTCTCGTCATCGTCAATCTTGTCATTTGCAAACCACCCGTTGGGGAAATACTTCCCCACCCAGGGGAAGCCCCGTAGGGCATAATCATCCGGCAAGGGCCTCGTGGCCGATTCGTTTTTGGGGAACTGCTCGCCCTCAATCCGAGCGTACGACTGACATGACCCAATCAACGTATTTAAAAAGAGAGATGTAAGCTTCCACGGAAAGGCCCGAGCCATGTAGACCATGGCCTCTGGGTAAAACGTAAGATGGTAGACGAAGACAAGCGTGACGTGAAGGTAAGGAAGGATGTTGGGGTCGCCAAACCGCCGCGAAACAACGTTGTATGTCCCATTGAAGAGACGAAGGGCATCAGCCAGCTCCTTGGGCAAAGGTGGCTCCACACCACTCTCGTGCATAGGCTGGTCCTGCGATTCATCATTGGGACGAGTTCCCTTGATGGCTTTAAAGATTAGGTTACTCTCACTCCCATAGCCAATGACAGCGCAGCTATTTGAGATGCCGATAAAGTAGCTGGGTACGTGTCAATGTCAATCTCCCCACAAAGTCGAGACGACAGCGCAATTCACATACCCAGACTCAAGCCACCTTCGCGTGGTACGGCCAATATGAGTATCAAGATGTTGGAAAAACTCGTTCATCGAGGCCTCTAGCTCTCCCTGCTGCTTGCCGCTGAACAAGATGCCGTGTGCTTTCACGCAAGCGAATTCGGTGGGTGGCAGCCTGGATTGCTGCAGATTTGGGGTTGGTGCCATGATAGGGTCAAGAAGTGTCATGATGCTGTCGCGCGCGGAGGCGAAGGGCATGTCAACACACAGCGACTTCGTATAGTAATAGAGTTGCTGCAGTGCATTAGGACGAGCAAGGATAGCCAAATGGTGGTAGAGCCTCCCGGTTGTAGGGGCCTTGTCGGAGGCCTTGGAGTACCAGTGACGGCTAACAGCAGTCCAGATCTCTCGGTCCCGCACATCGTCGTCCTCAATCGCCATACGATACCGGCCGAGGTCACCTAGGCATTCAATCCAAGTGTCTTCAAAGGCGGGCACCGTCTCGTATAGGAGAGCCATCATCGAGTATGCCAGGTAGATGAAGGTCAGCATGTGATCCAGACTAGCCGGAAGGCGATGCCTCAAGAGCTCCAGAAAGCTGTGGATGCCGTGCCTCCACATACGCGCAGGCATGGCGTATTTGGCAGCAAGTCTTCGCAATGCCGGACTCGCAGAAGGATGCTGGGAGGCTAGGAAGAAGTCGTGGTGTTCGTGGAGCAATGTCCGGTGGAGAGCAATCAACGCCTGCCACTGTTCATTGTTGAGCTTGTTTGCGGCATCGTTTTGGGAGCTCTGGGCGTTGTCAACCTCGATACACTTGCTCTCCACCATGACGAGTCCCGCGTAGATGCCTTTGACTTCTGCAACAAGTTGTTCCTGAGATATGGGCCTGGTTTCAGGTTGCTTGATAATCTCAATCGGCTCGTCGTCTGCTGAAGCCGGGGGCCAGGGGTCAGACGGCGGAGCGGGATGCGACTGCTGATGGGTCGCTCCATTGGCCTTATCGTATAGGTGGGGCCTTGGCGAGGCAGCGTCGTCGTCTGGGCTCCACAGCTTCCCCTTCTGAAAGGAGCCTCTATCGAACTCGGCGCGGCTGTCGTCCAGAGTTGGGGTGGATGTGGGCTGGGCCTTGGATCGCTTGAGAGGCGAAACACTCCTAGATCGCGAGCCTGCCCGCTTGGCACTCGTGGGGCTGCCAGCCCGGCGCTCCTGGCCCTGCTGCGCTTGTGTGACAAGCCCTGCAGTTCCGGCGTCCCACAGAGACCGGATCCAGTCCGTGTTTTCCGCTTCCGTGGCTTTTTCAGAGAGCAACTGAGCGTGAGTGTCTGAGAGGTGTTTCTGGAAGACTGCCAGAGCTGGCTCGAGGCCATTCTGCGAAGACTGGAGCTCGCAACCACAGAGAGGGCACACAGCCTCAGGTTTTGCCCGTCGTGATTCTCGCCGCAAATGCTCGTTCCACTTCTTGGCAAGGTCCATTTCCTACAGGAAGTGATTCTGAGGCCCGATGACGGCAAAACTCTGCGTCAAGCGCTGCTGCGTGCGGACGTGAGACCCGTATTTGCGAGCGATTCCGGGGGAGCGTCGGGAGCAGGGACGGGAGGGGGGGGATCAACCGATTGCTTTGGAAGTGGCTAGCACCGACCGTCGAAATGAGCGGCAAGTAGTCGCGGCTCTGCTCATCAAGGTAACAGGCCTTGGACTGTAGCACTGTTCTTGAAGAGGGCCACGGACGAGGTTTTTAACGATAACTACGGCGCAACTGGGCATATTCTCTATGTACTTGGGCCGCGCAGCGCGGACCAGAGGTGCCCTAGTCTCGGGCACAGGAAGGCAGTATCAAAGTCGGCTGGGGAACAATGGAAGAAGGCAACCAACCGATGGTTCGCAGAGGTGCGCGGACTATTCCAAGCAAGGTGATTGACAGGGGAAAATGGGCCCTTGCAAGCCCTTGCAAGCCAATCCAAGCCAAGGTTCGCCTTGTGCAGGCTCAGTGCAGCTTGGTGTACGGAGGTTGGGGCCAGAAGCCTTTGGACTGCCGGGATATGTGGGTCCGCCCATTGTACAGTGTACATAGTCAATATGTCTACCTAGGGAGCTTGGCCGCTTCAGCGAATTATGGGGCACTGGTGCCCTGGCTCAGCGTACCCAGTGCGCAAGCTTACACCGCTGACTCAGCAACCATGGCTTAGTAAGGCTGATCCCTAATGAAATACAGTGCAACCGACCCAAAATTTGCATTCGTACGTTGGAGCCAAAATACTACAGTATAGACAGGGTTACGGGTAGAGCGGGGGAAGATAGCGACCTTGCAATCGTAGACCATTCGAAGGCCAAAAGTGAGTCAAGTGACACCCGTCTTCCAGTTTTGATCGCACGTATCTATCGGCTCCCTGGCTCCCGTGTCACTAAAGAATCGCTTCCAATTCCAGATACCACCTCCGCAGTACAAGGCGGCACTGCAGCACTGCTGCTAGCCAGTACATCCACCACAGCTTCGATGTCCTGAAACGCCACCGAGCCACAGCAAGGAGAACTTCATACAAGAAGGGATTGCAGGAAGCATAGGTAGCCAATTGGAGATGCAGAATCAACAAGACGGATGGTTGCCTTTTGTATGCCTTAATACATGATCCACATACCGTACTAGGATGCCGTGCTAGCAAATCTTCGCGGTGAAATTGCTTCTTACGGCTTGGCCATTGGAAGTGAGGCGCCATGACCCAACCAGTGACGCCTAAGGTTGGGAAGAGGAAGATCACCTTAGATGGTCAGGCGGTGAAATAGGCATGCGCTTCTCCAAGGACAGGCCGACGGCCGGATGGTACGTGGCGAGAACGACGATGGCCCTGCTGCTGCTGCAACCGCCCGGACTGGGTTGCCTGATCAGGTCACGGAACACTGTGACTGCCACTGACTGAAACGGTGGCGAGGTTGCGAACAGAGCCGCGCAGGATGTCAGCCTCCAGGATCCAGCCTGAAAGCGCAATTTCTAACGAGGAGAATCGCTAGCATCCCCCACTCTCCTCGCGCAGGTTACCCAAGTAGACACTGGAATGCGGTTGTGGTATCCGTCCATATGTTGGTTCCGTGAGAACAGACTAGAGAGACCATCCTGACCTTGGACCAGGTCTAGCAATGCCGGACCACCACACGCAACCACTGCCAGCAGGACTTTATGCAGGTAACCGCTCTTCGCCAACGCCATCGTGGGCTCTGGCGACTCGAAAAGCACTTCACAGCTGGAAGGAAACCCACAAACCCGACTCTCAAAGACCTTTCTCTACCTTACCTTTTTGGATCCCACACCCCCTTACCCCCTCTCTCCCCCTCCCCGTGGATCTCCCCCAATCTGGTCTGGCAGTAAAGTCGTACTGTGTAGACATTTCATGGCGTGCTTCTGCCACCTTATAGAGAGCAGGGGAATTAACATTAGGCTCCTAATCTACCCTTACGGGGTTGCTAAGTATTGCGCTTAGCCTTGTATAAGAGCAACGTGGATTCAAGGACAACGGGAACCTGATCAAGCGTCCCAGATTGCGAGGGGAGTACATATCCGCTAGACGTCTTAGGCGTCAGGGGTTACAAGCAGTAGAGCGAGATTCCTGGAGGGTAGGAGTGGAGCATCCAAGGGCGGTTTCGCCGAGGCGGGCATACTGTTGTAAGGAATCCGCTCCAGAACAGCCGCTCCCTTGAGCCAACAGTCTTCTCGCCGTGGCATGGCTGACGCCAGATAATTTCCTGCCTCGAAAGACCGAAGTCCAGTTGTCCACCGGGGACTGCCTCACCGACCCAATGTTGCTAGTACAGTCGTCGTCCTCCAGCACCCTCCACCCATGAATTAGTTCTTAATCGAGAATTGAGAGGTAAGTTAGGGCCTCTAGGCAAAGGAATGCGCGGGTGTGAAATTGAGAATAGAGAGTCATTCAAACCCGTAATAGTTGAGGATTCGTCGTTTGCCAAAGTGGTACGAAGAGTGCTAAGAAGTAGTGACAGAACACACATTTTTGGGCGCTTCCGTCGCTGCTGCCACGTTTGTAACGGATGAGCGACGGGGGTTGGATACGGGCCGGTCGACCCGCACCAACCGCCGTTCCACTTCGCTCCTCCGGTTCACAAAGGCCTCACAGAGCGAGCGCCGCTCATTAAGTCCAAGTTAAATGATATACAATTTGATTGGCATACACTAGTGTACATAGAAAATGTATGTTCAGCCCCATAGCAGGACAGGGGACAAAATGGGACACGGCTCCACTCTTGCTCCAAACGCGGCTTGGCAAAGCCCTCGCATTATCCGTACCTTCGTACCATTATCAGTTTTACCCACCGTCGGTTCTTAACCAGCCCCACATTTTGGCAGCTGTGCCAAGACAGATGCAAGGCCAATTCCCTTTGGCCCTGGTTAAGAACTGAGTGGCCGTACAGCACCAACTTCCAGGTTGGCACATCCAAGCGAGGACAAGCGGTGCAGCCAATCGCAACCCCGAGCCCCAGAACTTGACGCGCCCTGGGCGTCGTGCCATCCCTCAGAGGGGGTGTAGATCCCACTCCATTCACTGCCTGTGGCAGTACCGCGACCTACACGGAGCGAGCTTTTCACCACTATGCCAGAGAGTAGTGTGGAACGGAGGGGGCCTGTGGATTGAGATCCTGAAGTTCGCCATTCGGATCACAAAGCGATCTCTGTTGGGGGGGAAACTTCAGTACAAACGACGATCTAGATGCGACACGGGGCCCTGGGCAAGGGGCGACCCGGCCGGAGATTTGGCAGCCGTTAGTGCCTGCATATGCAGCGAGCAGGGCCCGGACGATAGTGGCAGAGGGGTGAGTAGCACACATCGTGGCGCCTTGGCGCCCAACTTTGGTCCCGATAGAACGGTACCGGATGTAATTGGCTAATGGCTAGGTAGCCAAGGGCTGCAAGAGCCCCATCGCACAAGCACAGATTCAAGTTAGACGGCTCTCGCGGTGCAGGCCACAAGTGCGTTGTCATAACTTGTCAATGTCGAGGCGAGTACGTGTATTACCAGTCTTTGGTATCTGTGGGGAAGTAAACACTATATACATGGGGATGAGAAATATCCTGTAGGAGCTAAGTGTGACCGTGGTCTCGAGCCCCTGATGGGAACTCTGCACACACTCCCATCAGCGACGACGCGCCTTCGGGCCTCGATGTCCTGATAACGCCATCGAATTAGTCCTCGTGTACGCTAATAATGCGCTAACACGCTGGGCTTGCTCCCGTCCCTGCTCTTGTTGGTGAGCTGGGGTTGGTAATAAAAGGACATTTTGTAATCGCGGCTGATTGGCGGCATTGATGAAAAATTGGGGCGTCGAGACTTGACGCCGCATTCCCCGTTCCGGGTGGTGCATGGGGCAATTTCTTCTCGGCCCCACTCCGCTGTCACGGCTCGGATCCGCAATGCCGACTCATCATCCCCACTAATGACCTACGTTATCCAGGACATACCTCCAAGCATTGAATGACAGCCAACAAAAGTTGGTTGTACCACTCTACGGCTTGGAAAGTGGAGTTGGTCTTGGTTCCATTTACACTGGATTCATCTTCACAGTGCATTCTCGCCCCTTGACAACACTCTCACCTCCCGTCTCCAATTCATGAGCGTTCCGGAGCTCGGTATTCGCCCTCCACATTCGCATCCTGGACGAGTCGTGCGTATACAAGTCCACAAGCATTGCAAAGTGTTCTTGGACCATTTGGACCGCGTCTCCACTTTTCAGTTTCGGTCCGTTGACATTTCTGACACTGGGCAGATTCCGCTCGCTACGCCGCTCATAAGTTACCGTCCCATCAATAATCAACAGATATAACTCACCTTTCGTTTCCTGACTTTGTGCCTTCCCGTATCACTGCCGTTGGCGGCACAGGCTTCTTCCAACTGGATTCTATCCGTGCAATGACTGGCATTTTCAGCGGAAGAGTCCCCCACGGAGTCTTGAGTGGATCTCTTGTCGGAGATAGTCCCCCAGCCCCGAGGATTCCACACCTGGGACTCGGAGGCTGGCTCAATTCCGATCGCCGAAGTCGAAGGGCCAGGAATATAATGGGTGTGGAACACCTGTGGCAACGACCGGGGTGGTGGCGGAAGGCTTAACTTTCGGGCTGTCACGCCGTTGTCTTGAAGTCGTAGATAGGGACTGTTTGAACTCCCTGTGACACTGCCCGCCTTCCTATAGCAAAAGGATGAGGAAGGAGGCCCCTCCAAAACGTGATTCAATGGTGGAAGTGTTATAGCATCCTTCGAAGGGCCCGTACACGAGGGGGCTGGAATCGGCGTATCCTGGTCTTTGAGATCTCGTCCCTCCCGCGAGACAAATTGGCTGCGACTGTCAGATGGATAGCAAGACAAGGCGGGCACTGAAACGCGGGATTCGTGAGGTGTTGGGTAGCTTCCTGCTGCTGTTCGCTGGGTGGCACAATGTGCCGTAGTTGCGGCTGCTCCTGAAGAAGGCTGTTGCTTGATTCGCATGCATTCGTGGCCTGGACAAGGCAGATTGGAAGCTCGATCTCGCTTCATGTGTTCCGGAGAAATGTCGCTTGCCCACTGGGGTTGCACCGGTTGCAAACCAATGGTCTGACCTGAATTTCGAGCGTCCATGCTTGCAAGAACTTTACGATTCTCGGATAGCCTTCGAGAATTCGTCTCCATCGTTGCCGCCTGTGGTGGCAGCGGCCGCGATGTAAATGGCCCAGGGGTGCCCGGCGTCTCTCGGGTGTTGCAGTTGCAGGAGGCTTGGGTTAGAGCAGCAAGTTCCTTCTTTAGAAACAAAATCGTCTTATCCCTCTCCTCCACAGCCCGGGTTAGAGAGTCAACCTTGTTCTCCAGATCCTTCTTACTCCGCCGAAGCCTCTTCGACGCCATTGCATTCCGCTGTCTCTTGTCGGCTGCCTCCTTTGTACCCGAGAATTTGTCGTAATCCGTGAACTCTATAAAGTTCCTTGCCATTGTGTTGCTAGGCTTGAACTGCGATGGTGATACTGTTAGGCCCTTTTCCTGGATGCCTGGCGGGAACGGGTTGGTAGGTATGTCGTCAAGGAAGCCGCACTTATCGTGGTAACTTGCGGCGCTACTCGGACGACGGTCGTTCGGCTCGAGGTGTGAAGCACTTGGTCGGTTGAATAGTAGTAGGGAGATGGAAGGAACATCCCCCGGTCGGGGGACGTTTGAGTTCATGGTAGGAAGTTAATATAGAAGAAAAACGGCGATACCGCTGGCATAAGCGAGTTGACGAAAGCTGGGACTGCTGATTTCGCGGCTCGCGAAAACGGGGGACCAAGGAAAGGAAAAGGGAAAAGGGGCAGCGAGAAGCGAAGGATGAAGAGAGATTCAAAGGCGAGGTCGCGGCGGTGATCCGCAATACAAGTTGTCCAAGGAAGCGCCACTATCGTCCGGGCCCAAGAACTGTCCTCCCCCTCCAATCCTCAGTCCCCTGCTCGCTGCACATGCAGGCACTGACGGTCGCGAAATCTCCGTGTACCTTCTGTGATTTGTAGTTCGGCTGGGCTTCAACCTTAGGCTGTTCACGGTCCCATCCAGACTGGTCCCTGTCTTGCCCCCCCGACTCATGGGTGACGGTGACGACCACTGTACTAGTGAGTAGGGACATTGGGACGGTGGGGCGGTGCCCGGTGGACTACTGGACTTCGGTCTTTCAGGGCGGGAAATGATCTGGACTATCTGGCAACAGCCATGCCGCAGGCGAGAGAACTGTTGGCTCAAGGCTGCTGCTGTCCTGCAGCTGCTGGGTCTGGAAGGGTGTGCAGGAAACGACCAAAAGAAACGTCCACCCCCCGACCTCCAAGACATCCAGCAACTTCCAAGACGTCCAATACTTACACCCCTGACTTCCAGGACGTCCAGCACTTGCACCCCCCCCGACCTCCAGCCCCATTTTATAGTTCTGGGAACCAGTCCATCTTCCAACCACCATTGCGGGAACCAGTCCATTTTTTACACCACCATTTGGGAGATTCAACCGTAGGACGAGCAGTACCACCAGCGCTATACTACCATGGGAGGCATGCCGAAGCAGCTCTACAGCCATCAACAACCGCATCCAACACATCCGTCCTGGAACCGTGAACGGCGCTCCCATACACGAATCCCACACGCCGGTGGACAAGCTAATGAGGGTCATCAAGGCCGTGGTAGGAAGTGGGTACGGTTAACAAAGAAACAGATAGCTCCATTGGAGCTCAAATTCACAGTGGACGCCCATCCGAGAAGCAGTACCAGGCAAGAGCTCGCCAATCGGATAGGTGTCGAGGTATCTAAGATAAATGTCCGTTGCAAGATATAGACTCTCTTCAAGACGGATGGATTTAGCTAACACATTGCTATAGAACTGGTTCAAGAATCGCCGAGCAAAGGAGATGCGGATGAGGAAAAATGCCGAGTTTGAGGCACAGCAGGGCAGAGAGCGAGCCGCTTCCGAGTCCAAGTCATCTAAAGGGTATGATCAGGCTGTGGAAAGCGAATTCTTTGAGTTGGACGACTAACAACAGCCCTCAAGTGTGTCCAGTGGGACGTTCGGAGAAGACGACGAGGAGGTTAGGGCGGAAAGCGACAGTCCCGTGTCGTCTACTTCCGAGTCTGCTGAGCATGAGGCCGCCAAATCCAGCGAGACTCCAGAGACTGATGCAGATTGCTTTGTTCAAGTACAACGCGAGGCATCGCCTTCGATATCTATAGGCCCCTCGGGCCCTCGTTCGCCCTTTGCCATGGACCTGACCAAAGAGGCGCTCCTCCAGAGTCCGCAGGGTGCCCAGGCCCCGAGGATGCCGTCGATGAACAGTGCCACAGGCTCCTTGAGTCAGGATGGCGGCCATGGCCTAGGAGAGAATAGTCTCGGTGCGAATTCTCCAGAGGAGGAGCAGTGCTACCCTTATGGCTCTTTGGGATCGGTAGGCGGGTTAAAAGAAGCGCCCGAGATGACCAACCTCACTCACGGAGCCCAGCTGCCGCCCAAGCAAATTTGCTTTATCAACTACCAAGGACAACTACCCTTCGACCTGAGGCGCATTCAACAGCGGAGGCACACTCAAGCAGCGTGAGTTCCCCCTTCTCTAATTCCGACTTCCCTCGTAGCCGGGGGACCGGGTCCGAGTTGCGTTCTGAGGATGTCCTAGATGCTTGACGTGCCGCAAGAGGAAAGTGCGCTGTACAGGTGAGAAGCCTGTTTGTTTGACCTGCGCCAAGCGTAGGCACGTCTGTCTCGGGTACGACGAAAGGAAGAGGAAGAGGAACGACAACGGTTCGGGCGGATTGGTGGTACCGAGGGTGCAATGCGGGACACCGGCAATCACCAACATTGGTTCCAGTGACACTACCTCTCCATCTACCGTCGCCGAAGACCGCCTTTTCAGAGACCCCGGTAGCACCCCGGCATCCGGCCTCTCCAACTGGGGGGGCAACACTGGCTTCATAGCACTTACGGAAGACCAACTCCAAGTTGACTGGCCCTTCGACTTGGACCGCGGAGCCCATACTATGCCGCCACTCCACGGGCTACCGAAGGTGACAGCAGATATAACGGTACACCACCCGGTCGATGGCTCGAGCAACTTCGCGACGCCGGGAATGGAATGCGAGGAAGATCTAGAGGGGTTTGCTCTTGGCATCGGAATGCTCTACGGTTATTGAGTCACTCTTTGTATCAAATTCATGTTTGTACCTTAGTTGTATACAAGCCGCATTGCAAAATTTGCAGCGTCTGCCGTGGGTGGGTGAGTGGATTTGCCTAGGCAGGGGGTGGGTTAGTGGATCTGCCTGAGTAAGGGGAAGGGTGAGTGGGTTTGTCTAGGTGAGTGGATTTGCCTGGGCAAGGGGTAGGTGACTGGATTGCTAGAGTAATGAGTAAGGGGGTGGTGGGTGGGTGCTCCTGGGCAAATGGTGGCTGAGTGTCTGCAAGGGGCAGGGCTCGGGGTGTTTGGACAGGGAAGGGGGAGCAAGTCTGTAAGATCACAGTGAAGTCAATTGCAGAATGAGGTGTTTGTTTATTGCACGAGTGGCAAGGCCAAGGAGTTGCATTGCACCGTTGTCTAGGGGTGCGGTGCTCTAAATTTTGTGCGTTGTCCCTTCGTCCACTGACGCTAGATTGCTCATCGCTGTTTGCTTTAGGAGCAGTCCAGCCGCCCTGTTGGTTTGAGCCGGATTGGGATTTGGCTCCTTTTCTGGCACCTCTCCTCTCTTCCCTGCTGTTTGTGCCACCACCTTTGACGGCTTCCGCGCAAATGCAGCCGCAATGCTGACGGCAAATTAGCGTATGTCTCTGTCGAGGAGGCGATTCACTAACAAAGTAGGCTCCAATCCATGATATTCCATGAGAAGGCTGTTGTAGCATACAAGTTGAGGTCGTTGGAATGGTTAAGTTGAAACTACGCTGGCAAGCTGAGTGTTCAACGAAGTTGGACGCCCTGTTTATATAGACCAGTGGGCAAACCACGTGCTCTTCTCACTCATCAGACAATAGCTAACCATTAAAAGCAACTGCATGAAAGGCGCCTTGGAAGGAATGCAGCAGCTGCCGATGAGATTCTCGTGCGTCTCCGACGGAGCGACAACGCAAGGGTGGTGCAGGGAGTGGCGTCAAGGTGTCCGCTCTAGGCAAGACACGTCACGGTTAAGTATATATACAGTGGCAGCCTTGTCGGCATTGCGACTTACAAAAGAATGCAGTCAAGAACACCGCTCTCAAACTTTCAACCTCACCTCAATGCTCGAAGTCCATGAATTCACAGTCTTACACTCCTGCAACGCTAACTTGGACCACCTTAGCCTTACCAGTGTCACATGACAACCGGCGACTTTTCCCGAAGCGATGCCGTGCCCCGCAGCATACAGCCCCTCCATCGAAACCGGCGGGGGGGAAAACTCCTTGGGCGCGGGAAAAATCTCGTCAGGCGCGAATCGCGAGAAGTCCACACGGGTCTACAAACATTTCGATTTCATCAGGCTCTACTATTCCGGATATGTCTGGAACTCCAGATATTGCCGACATGCCACTAGTAAGTGCTTCTTCTCTACTCCTCTATTGCCATTGCTGATTCCGAAAGGGGGCCAATGCAGAACGCGGTATATACGAAGCTATTCCATTCAAGATCTTTCCAGCGAGCAATGCGGATAGAACAATAAAATGGCGAGGGCAGGGGCGGACTTCTTTTAGCGGAGGAAAGATCGAGATCGGGCAGGAGGAACTTTCCAAGGAAGAATTAGCGATAGATGGTTCGAAACTTGTCCCAGCAGGGCAACCTATTGTCGTGGGAAAGATGGACGTCATGTTCATTTGAAGACTGCTATCTACCGCTGAAAATTTGAGGTATGGACTGACAGAAGGGATGATATTGCTTAATCTCTATCCTCATTTGGCGAACTTGCCGGACCTCGACAGAGGCGCCGGGGGCAGCCCGCCTGAGGATCGCGTCCACCTGATTGGCAGCATCTAGACAAGATTGCTCATCAGCTGTGTCGAGGCATATTTCCACCTCAGTAACCATATCGCTGAAGAAATGAAAGTTTGCTATACGGGAGAAACCGCGGCCGTCCTCGAACTTCTCCTTCGACTTCGCCAGGTCATGAAACAGACGAACTCCAGGAAAAGCCTTCTCAAGCATATCGGTCCAGGGCCCAGAAAGACTGTATATAACGTTCCTCTTGGGTTGCATATTGGCCGTTGACAGAGTGGTCAAAGGATGGGAGGCAGCGGAGTCGATACTATATCTGTTGCCTTGTTGTAAAGTCGAGGGCTGGCCGAGTCTGGGGTACGGAGGAGCGGCGCTAAAATCGGACGATGTACAGGGCACCCGAAAGGTGGCAGACGGTGTATCTTGCAGTTTCCGTCGTTTTCCAAGGACATGGGCGTAGCTGCCGCCTGTATGCGAAGGTTTCGCTAGCGTATCCGCAGCATCGGTCGGGGCGGCATCGGCGGAGTGGGCAGGGGCGGGGCCATCGGCGGAAGCGGCAGGAGCGGGGGGACTTCTCGTGTTAGGCGGCGCACTCGCGGAGGGACATGGCTTGAACGGATCACCAGACACGGCGGAAGCTGGCACATTAGCAGGAATAGAGAAGACATATCAGGCACACTTACCAGTCTCTGGGTTGTAGGCAGCCACCCCTTTCTGTAGCCACCGGCCGCAAGAAGTGCATGTAGTTGCCTCGGTAGACCCCGGCTTAACATCCGGATCCTTGAATGGCAGTGCGAGCGTGGGTTGTGCCGGCGTGGGTTGGTAAGGAGATTTCGCCTGCTTAATAGCATGAACGGCGTCTATGGCCTTGTTAGCAGTGATGTTATATAGGTCAGCGCCCGATACGTCTTCGGCACGCTCGTGCGAGAGGTGCCCACCAGGGCGGCCGATGCGCACCCCGGTGTCGGTCAGAGGTTGCGATCGGCCGCGTCTCTCAAGACGCTCCTGGAGCCACAGACGGACCAAGGCTGAGACATCGAGAGCGTACATACAGACTCGCGGCCAGCCGGGCGGCTCGGCGGCGGGCCGGCGGTTGACGGCGCCCTTGAGTACGTCGTTGTCGTGGTCCGGTCCGTCTTGGCTGTAAAAGCACCTGTCACTCTCACCGCCGAGGAGTGCCGCGACGGCCCGACGGCGGCAGCCATAGCCGGCAGCCGGTCCCACGCAATGTGCACCACACGCGACCCACCATGCTGCGCACAAGTTCCTCCTCGTCCCCTGGAGGAGGAGGTAGAGGTGTCGCAGCGTCAGCCGCGTCGCACCTGGGAGCGAGGGAGGACGAAGAGAGAGGTGGAAAAAGGGGAAGCCGTACCTTTGCGAAACTTCAGATATACAGCGCTGTCGCTAACAACGCTGAGAGCGGCCGTCCACAGATCTGGGTCGTTGTACCAACGTGTCGTCGAGATGAAACTTGAGTTTTTGCAAAGGCTCTCGATAGTAGAAACGGAGTTGCCCTGGATGTCTCTTACCCGAATTAGTACCGCAAGGGCCATGAGCGCTTTGGAGTCCAGCTGTCGGAAGAAGCTTTTTTTAGTTTCCTCCGCGGGTATGTTGTATCCATCAGCAAATACAAAGTCAATGACCCTACGGGCGTAACTGATGTCTGTATTATTGATTTTGTGGTCCCTCGGAATGCGTACAAGTGCTTCATCAATGATCTTTTGAGCCTTGTTGTGAGCCTTGTCGTCCGTCATCTGGGCTGCGAAGTGCTGTTGAAACGTCAGGTGGGAAGTTGATGGGTCGCCTCAACCAGCGTTTGTCCAAGGGCTTGTCCGGTCTCCGCCAAGTCCTGTACAGTACAACACTGGGTACTAACTTGCCCGACGAAACATTACCTTCTTTGGCAGAGGCAATTAGCAATCCCCGCGCCGAGCTTGGCCCTGGCAACGCCGAATCTCGTAGTGGTTCCCCGCCTCCGGGCTATAACTGACCCCTGGGCAGACCCACTCACTCACCTCCCGCTTAGGCAAATCCACTCACTTACCCCCTACCTGAGCAGGCCCACTCACCCTCCCCTTGCTCAAGCTAACCCACACTCACCTCCCGCCAAGGCAGACCCACTCATTCAGCCCCTCCTCACCTCCCCACTCACTCACCCCCTACCTAGGAAGATACCGTGTTCTAGAACCTGCATCTTAGTTACATCACAAATGTACAGACATTGAACATAACGAGGCGCTTTAAGAAAGTAGGAATGCATGGTTGGGGATTTTAGCAGTACAGAGGGTGAATGTAGCCTACGGTACAGCGCCATCAGCCGCTCCTTGACTCCCAGCTCAACTCCAACGTGCGACGGTCCAGACTAGGCCAGAGGAAATATCACTCTGCTGACCAGTTTCCGTGCAGAAGCTTGCGACTAATACTCCGGGGTGCCCCTCTCCAAACACCCCGGCGTACGTTGTCGCGTCTAATAAAGTCACCCCCGCCGTGGCATACATACCCGGAGCAGGGGTGATCCTAAAACTACGCTGATGCGGCCTATGAGAGGCTTATGAAATGCTTGGGTCCTCCAGGAGGTCACCGATGCTTGCAGAATAATGTGTCTGGAAGTCAAGCACGGAGACATCGCCATCTGTATGAGGAACCTTGGTTACTTGCACGCAGAGGTTGATGGGATCCTCGGTTCCTCCAATCGGACACGATCAATGCCCCCAATACATCCTTGCCCCGATGTCTGGGTGCCGTGGTTGGCCTGTATTGAGGAAGTAAGGATGGATAGCTTCATGGTTGTCAAGTGTGCGTTACCATCTGTGGACTGTGAAGAGGGCAGTAGAAGAGCGGAAAGGGGTTCCGTCAAGCCCTCAACACAAAAAAAGAAAACTACTAAACCTAGAGCCCCTTCCGAATCTTGCGGCGTCAACCCCACGGAGCAAAAATTCAGGGCATGGCAGTACCGCGGGACTTGCCCGCGGCACAACCAAGTCGAAGGTTCACGCCCTCCCTCATCTGTCCTGGGTGACACAATAATACCCCGACCATGGTCCCTTGTGGTTGGGGTCTAGTTGTTTCACTATGCAAGGTACGGTAAGTGGCTGGCACGTTTCTAGGTTGACCTTCACTCAACGCCAGGAACCGGGCACTGGCCACCGACTCGTTGGATAGTGCTTTTCGACCACGGGTGGAAAGACATCCCCGCCTTGTGGCTTCTAGCACCGTCCTCGCAACCTCCTTCTTCATTTCCACACCGCCGACTATCTTTCCTGTGCTGTTATTCGCTTCCTCTTCCCCCGACTCTCAAACCTCCACGGACTACTCCGCTCCATTACCCAGGATTCGACTTGAATAACAGGGAACCCGTTGGCTCTTGGTCTTCAACCTCCACCTCCCGGAAAACTGAGAAGGCTGGCCCTAGCACTATCCCACCGGTGCCGATTATCCCTTGATCGAAACCGCTCTGCTAGCCCCGGCACCACGGCGCCTTTGCAATGGCCCGTGATGGCTCTGCACTCCGTTCCTCGCGACACTTTCGGACTCTGCTCGATGATAACCTCGGTGACTACTCCCTATCCGAGCGTATCCTACGGTGATGATGTTGCGTACAGTACCCCGTCTGCCTTGGATGCGCCTTTCGAGGCCCGCCAGTTTCTAGAGCGTCCGCAAGCGCCCGTCATTCACGGCGAGATCGGATTCCAATGGCACTGGGACGGCCGTTTTTCAGACGACAAAAAACCCAGCCCATCCATCAAAAAGAGCGAGGCGCAGATGTCTACTTCGGCCAAGTCGACTACCTCGGACTCAACAGCAACATCAACGGCCTCCACGACGATAGTACCCAACGTACGGGTGAACGGCGCTCCCACATACGAATTCAACACGCCGGTGGACAACCTAATGAAGGTCTTCAAGAAAGTGGTGGGAGGCGAAACGTCAACAGATCAGGCAGAGACAGCCGAGACAGAGTCGCGGCGGTTTCGCTGTGATATTCCTGGTTGCACCAAGTCATTTACGCAAAAGAACAACCTCGACAAGCACCGACGAGCCCACACTGGCGAGCGCCCTTATGTGAGCATCGACCTAGCTTCCCTCCTTGGCATGTTCTGAAACTGACGAGACAGAAATGCAAACTCTGTGGACAGGGTTTTACCCAAACTGTTAACCTACGGGTGAGATCTCGTCTATACCTGTTGCTTGAGCTAGTCCGTCTTATACCCTTTAGACACACACGAGACGTCATTTGGGGGAGAAGCCCCACAAGTGTAACAAATGTGGGAAGGCTTTTCCGCAAAGAGGGAATCTCACGCAACATATGAGAACTCATGATCGGACTAAGACATGGGTTTGCAAGCTCGATAACTGCGGCAAGAAATTTACTTGGCGTGGCAATTTAAAGGTACATCGCTCAAATTAGGGGCCGGTCCACTACAAGCACCAGACAAATTTCTAACACCTCTTCCACCCCTAGCCTCATCACAACAAATTCCACCGGAACACGATCGACACACTCCTCGCGAAGCTCGCTACAGGCCAAGTCTCTGACGAGGAGAGGGAAATGGCCAAGTACTTGTACGACCTGTACCCCCACGCCAATAAGGGGATAAAGGGACGAGGGAAGGGCGAGAAAGTCCAGCGTGTCGCACCATCATGCCCGCAACCGCAGCTAGATGCTACCTCAACTTCGACCAGCAGCATCACTGCCCCTACTTATTCGATGCTGATGCCCCATGGGCTCCCGGTCATGCCCATGCCCATGCCACAACCATCGCACAATTCATACCCGTTCCCTGGCTTAAGCCACCCCGCCGCGTACAGCATGGCTCATGAGGAATTCGGCATGGTAACCAGCAGCCAGGTATCCGCGCCCAACCTGGCCCCCTACAAGGAGGAGGAGGAGCAGCTTGCGTTTGCTGATTGGGGGTGGTACTGAGCGCTTGTTCCAGACTTCCACATCGCTTCACTTTCCAATTCCAACTTTCCTTGGCTGGCTTTTATATTAGTTCTTTAATCACGAAAAGCGCTATCCATACAGTGGAGGGATGGGTTGGCTATTGTCGTTTCCGCGCCAGGAAATTCCATTAATGTATTTTGGACGAGTACTGTATATATACAGTGTAATCTAAGGTTTTCACATAGCGGGCAAGTGGCTGTGATACAGCGCCGGGCGGGCTGGCAGGTGTGGTTGCAGCTTGGGGGGAGGGTGCCTCCGCAATCCGGAGTCCGGATTGCGGATCCGAGCCGTGACAGCGGAGTGGGGCCGAGAATGAACTTATTGTCCCACGCAAGTACCAAACAGGGAATGCGGCGTGATTCCATTACCATTCCTAGCTTGAAAAAGAGCACCAAAGAGTGCTGACTGGGCGAGAGAGATTGGGTGAAGGAGATTGGGCGAGGGAGGCTGCAGTGGCTAGCTGACCCACATGCATGCCAACCTACTACGTAGTACGCCATCTCGGCTTGTCCTACATGACTTGATACATGCCAGGACGGACGAGAGAGCTGCTGCAGCTGCATCGCGCAAGTTACTACCTGTGAAGGACTCAGACTTAATGGCCATCACATCAAATTGCCCTCGATACCCCATCCCGTAAAGCTTGCTGCCTTTATGTCATGCCCTGGTAGTACGCAGTACTTTGTCAACTTTCACAACCATTCAAAGCTTGAGACTCTGGTGCTCTCCGACGCCGAACCCATGGACGGCGTTGATGCGACTTCTTCTCCCACAGAGCCCTATGACACGGGCGGCGGGCCTCTGAAGCTGCTCAAATGCCTCGCTCTTGCCAGTCAACGTGGTCTTCGCAGGCCGTTCGCCAGATGGGGTGTGGCCACCGACAGTGCCTACAAAGGTATTGTGTCGATTCACTGGTGTAGCCCCTTCCCTTTCGACATGGGGGATGCGTTTACCGGAGAGGCGACCGGGTTTGTCGTCGCTATCCGTGGTCGCACAGGGTAAGCTCATTGCTGCCCGAGAAGCATGCTGTCGGCTGATTCTTCTCTCCAGGCTTATTTTGACGAATCGTCATGTTGTTGGCCCCGGGGGGTTCTGGGGTTTCTGCATTTTCACGAACCATGAGGAGGTGCCCGTTGTACCAATCTACCGAGACCCCGTCCACGATTACGGCATCTTGTTGTTCGACCCCACACTCCTCAGAGATATGCAAGTAAAGGCACTTCCGCTTAAACCAAATGCGGCGAGAGTCGGCAAGGAGATCAGACTTGTTGGCAATGACGCCGGTGAGGGGGTGAGCATCCTGCCCGGTGTCCTTAGCAGAAGGGACTGCAATCCACCATCATATGACTCTAGTTACAACGACCTCAATATCAACTACTTCCAGGCTAGCAGCGATGCTTCTAGCGGTAGCTCGGGCAGTCCAATCATTGATATCCATGGTTATGCCCTCGCGATGCAAGCCGGTGGACTAGACGACGCGGCAACAAATTACTTCTTACCCCTCGATCGGCCATATCGCGCGTTGGAGTGTTTACAAAAAGAGAAAGACATCACTCGAGGCGATATCCAATGCCGATTCCTCCTCAAGTCTTTTGAGGAGTGCGAAAGGTTGGGTTTTCCGGACCGTTTGAGAAAGGAGGTCCAGGACATGTTTCCAGGTCCCCAAACGACAAATATGATTGTGGCAGCGACCGTTCTTCCCCAGGGGCCTTCAGACGGCAAGATTCTGGAGGGTGACATTCTTATTAAGGTCAATAGTGAGATTGTTATCCACTTCGCCCGCCTAGACGAAATTTTGGACTCCAGCGTTGGCCACAGTGTTGTATTTCTCCTGCTCCGTCAGGGTACAGAAGTTACGGCGGCGATTGAGGTCGGCGACCTACACAAGATTACCCCCGACCGCTTTGTTTTGTTCACCGGCATCGGGTTCCAGACTCTTTCCTACCAACAAGCCCTCATCCATCGTATCCCTTGCAAAGGCATTGTCGTATGCGGGGAAGGTCGTGTCCCCTGGGGACACTGGCTGATTCAGAGGTTAAACCACCAGGCCGTCCCTAACCTCGAGTCATTCATCGACGTCGCGAAAACCATCCCAGATAGGGCATTCGTTAAGGTTGACTTCTTGGACTTGAACTGTTTTCCGCGTCAACGCGACTCAAAGACCATTCGGGTCAGTCGACGCTGGTACCCGAGGATAGAACTGGCGGTGAGAAACGACAAGACTGGGCTGTGGGACTTTGAAGTCATCGCCAAAGCCCCGCCGAATGCGATTCCTCAGAGCCCTCTGACCGCCTCATTTCCAGAGCTCAGTATTGAGGATCCCGCGTTTCCTAGTGTTGTCAGTTACGCCCGCAGTTTTACTCGTGTCACGTTTGACATGCCAGTTGACCTCAATGGCGAGAGGGCGCCTACCAGATCGGGAGTGGGGATTATCATGGATGCAGCTCGGGGTCTTGTGTTAGTTTCAAGAGCTACTGTCCCACACGATTTCGGCGACATTCATATCACCATTGCTGGCTCTATCAATGTCGACGCCAACGTCTTGTTCCTTCACCCTGAGCACAACTACTCCATCATCCAGTATGACCCTTGTATGGTTGAAGCTCCAGTGTTCAGCGCGGCACCGAGTAAAGACGAGATACGTCAGGGTGAGAATATCTACTTCCTCGGCCACGACGGGAGTCTCAACGACCACATTTTGCACGAGAAGACAACCATTACCAAAATCTCACCTTTATACATATCTCATGTTGCGACCTCGGCACCGAGGTACCGCCCGGTCAACTTCGACGCGATCAGTGTCAGATCAGGGTTTGGAAGATCCTGTGAAACTGGCGTCCTGGTTAGCACGACCGGTACAGTCGTAGCCATTTGGCTGAAGTACCTCGAGCAACGTGAGGAAGGGGAGGAAGTGTTCTACTGCCGGGGCTTTTCCACCAAAACCATCTGGCCCGTAGTATCGCAAATCCAGGACGGACGTCAGCCCAGCCTACGAATTCTGCCCGCTCGGTTTCGAGCTCTTACAAAGGCTGAGGCACAAGCCAGTAATGTCTCTAGAAAATGGATCTCTCAACTGGAATCTAGCCATTCGACGCGACACCAGCTTTTGGAAGTACATAATCCGACCAGTACAGTCAGCTGCGAGGGCTCGGAGGACAACGAAGGCTACATGCTCGAGTCGGGCGATATCCTGCTTACCCTCAACGGCAAGCTCATCACCGAGATGTCGCAGTTGGACTACATGCATTGGAGTGACAAGAAGGAGCTGGTGGCCGAAATTGTGCGCAATGGTGAAGAGCAGAAGCTCACGCTCCGGACCGTTGCAGCTAACGACGTGGAGTCCACACACGCTATCTCCTTCTTGGGTGCGATCCTGCAACCGCCGTACCACGCTGTTCGACAGGAAGTCAGAGAATACCATAGCGGAGTCTACGTCTCAAGGGTTCATGATGGCTCCCCCGCTCGGCTGTTCGGCCTCTTTGAAGGTAGCTTCATCACCGAAGTCAACAAGTCGGATACCCCAAATCTAGAGTTATTTCTCACTGCTATAGCCAAAATCGAGGACAATACATGTAAGCTTTTATATTCTCTTCCTTTTCTTCTTCTTTCTCTTTTCTTCTCTTGTTCGTTGTTATTTTTACACTAAATTCTTCTAGATTTCAATATGACGGTAGTCTACAACGATCATCGTATTGTCAAGGCCTTTAAGCAAAATCTGCGATACTTTCCTACTCGACGGTGGATCAAGAAGGGGCACGAGTTTGGTTGGTGCGAGATGGGAAAATGACTACACGTCGCGGGACACAGCCGTAGGGATGATAAGGCACGGATGACCCGCATCCCTTCCTTGTATGTAGTCCGCCGCTAATGCAATTTTGCTGGGGCTTATGGTTTGCTATGGCCCTCGTCGGGCCGATGACCTGGGATCGGGTGTAGGTGGATACTTGATTGCCTAATATACCTTCTCTACTTCCTCCTTTTGGAGTCTTAGTAGAATAATATAGGGGCAGGTAACAGTTGGGGGAGAGTCCAGGGATCGATGTGAGAGTTTCCGCTACTGGGGTAGTTCCTGGTATCTGTGACCAGCCTCCAGTATTACAGATATCCCAACAAATCCCAAGGATGCCAGTTGATCCCAAGGATCCCAGGACTCTTCAATCTCAATATTGCTATTGTATGTCCTATTCTCCTAGGCAAAAAGATTGTACCTGCACCCGATTTTCATCCGATCTCTACAATATACTGAACTCTACTTGCAAGGCGACTACAACTACGAAAGAGGACATGCACGATCACGATTCGAAAACAAGACCACTTGGAATTGAGCTTGATTAACTACCACTAAGCTATCTTGACTACGACTGATATGGCTGTCGCATGTGGAAGTTGCGGACCAGTATAGGTAAGAATAAGATTCTCAAAGACCACTGGGATCACCGGGATCTCTGGGATCTCTTGGGATTTCTGGGATCTGGCAGTATACCTAGCTGCTGGGATCTTTGGGATCTGGCTGTGGTAGTTGGGGGGCAGTTCCTACCCTAGGTGTAATCCTCACGTCCTTAAGATGGGAAGCATTTGGAGATAGTACTAGCCAGTATCCTCGTCAGCAACAATCGGAAAACCTAGGGCGTGCGCGCCCTCGACAGAGGAAAGTTCGAGAGATCGATTAATGAACGGGTGGGATATCATCGTCTTTAACCCCAACCCACTATCACAATACCTACTATGTCCATATAGTTACCTAAAATGAATCTCGCACCGTGCCCTACATGCAGTCTGCGAACGCCTAAGAAGGGTCATGCTAGCATCAGCCACTTGAGCTTCGCTTCAACAACGCATTTTCAATGTGAGCTGAATTTACTATCCGACACTACATTTACAGTTCATTGTAATAACCAGTAACCACCTTGCCCTAGGTAGTAGACAGTGTAGCCACTAGCGAGAGCTTATAACACGTCATCGGGTGGAGAAGGTAGACGGGTCTCTCGAGAAAACAGGCCTTGGAGAAGCTGCTGCCGTTGTTCATCGCTCAATGATGCAATGGCAGCTTGGAGACTAGCTAGAGGGTCTTGTGAAGGTGGCTGCTGTTGCCTTGTATATACCGGCTGTGGCGTTGTATATGGCTGCTGCTCTGGCTGCTGTTGGCTTGTATATACCGGCTGTGGCGTTATATACGTCTGCTGCTCTGGCTGCTGATGGCCTGTATATACTGGCTGTGGTGTTGTATATAGCTGCTGCACCGGGTCCACTGGCTGCTGCTCCTCGACTGAAGCCCCGATTCCTTGGAGACGAATCCGCTCTCCTAATGGTCGAGGTCCTTTCGGCGGCTGAACTCCACAGTTTCGATAATATTCTTTGATTGCATCTTCGCCTCGTAGTGCATTAGAATACACCGATTTCCATATACTCTGTGTAGTCACTATGCGTTGCCCTCCCTTCCAAGCAAATATCCACTGGTCAGCCGTCTTTTCAACTAGGTTATTAGTACCATAAAAACTCGTATCCTGAGCAATATACTCAATTTTTGGAAGCGTAGTTTGGTCTTGACATCGAATTGTCCTGAGCTCGGATCTTTCTATAGTTGTAATCTTTCCGACCACTGACGGTTGAAGCCTAGAGTCTCGTAGTGGAATTGCAAAAGCTGGCAGTTTCGACATAGTTCCGCGGAGAGGTGTTACCACTATTAGAAGATGGCCTCTTGGTGTCAATCCCTCAACTCTTGCCCAGGTAAGACGTTCTGGATCAATTTCTTTGAAGTCCGGCTCAACTATCCGAACGTATATATTGTTGCCTATGCAGCAAGTAGAATAGAGCTCAGCTTGATGTTGAGGCCATACTAAGGTCCGAGGGTCTGGCATGTCGCTGGTGTTTGGCCTGAATATATAGCGCTGGTTCCCCCCTGCTAGTGGTTGTGTCCATGGCTGCTGGTATCCTCCTGCTAGTGGTTGCGTCCATGGCTGCTGGTATCCTCCTGCTAGTGGGTGCGTCCCTGGCTGCTGGTATCCTCCTGCTAGTGGTTGCGTCCCTGGCTGCTGGTATCCTCCTGCTAGTGGTTGCGTCCCTGGCTGCTGGTATCC